CTACGGTATCTTGGCTTTCATTCCTGCAGTGAATGTGGCCTGACCAGAGCCTTCAAAGACAGGGATGTAGATGGCCTGTCTCATTCTGAACTCCCTAAGGATTCATTGTACCTCCTTTATAGATTTCCAGGGTGCCATATGCTCAGGGAGATCCCCCTCATTGGGCCAAGCTTTCCTGCAGGCTAGAATAATCCAATCTATAAGGGAACAAGTACCTTGAATCCCCCAAGCACCATGCAGGCACTACCAGAGGGCAGGGTGTGTGGTTATGTTGCTCATTTTCTCTGCCTCCTGCCCTCTAAGAGAAATGCCATTGCTCTCCCCCACCACGCCCCCCTCCCCCATATCCCATAGCCTCACTAACCTTGTCTGGGTACTTCCCCTGGCCTTTTGCTGGAACTTGGCAGCTATATCAATAAGCTCAGCGGGCATATATTTTCTCATCATGAATCCTTCCCGGATCAGGGGCTGCCCTGCTGGCTGAGGTCGTTGTTGCTATGCTTTCGCTTTTCTCCGTACTAGGTGTCAGATGGCACATGGCGTTTCCTGCGTTTTACTGTCAATAACCACAACATCCTCCTCTTCACTCTCTTCACTTTCCCAGGGATTTTACCTCTTTAGCATCTCAATCAGGCTTTATCACAAGCACTCGGACCTTACTCTGCGGCAGCTAGCACCACCCCAGCTTTGCAAAGCGGCACGCTAAGGACTCCAACTTATTATCCTGCTCTCCCACCTTGTCTGCCAGCCCCAAAGCTAGCACAGTAGTGGACCACCCCACTGAAACTGGGAAACAGTTAGCCACTGACAGTGCTAAACAGTTAGCAGCTAGTAGCTAAAGTTTTTTTGCAATTACTAATTATAGCTTTTAGTTGTTCACCCACCCATTGTTAACTGTGCTGCTTAGGCAATACACTATCAGACTCCCACTAGATTCCTCTAAATAACGTCTCCTTGATGCCTGGGTCATCATGGTAATGGATGTTTGAGCTGTTTTTCAGGAATTAGGACTCCTTGTCTAGTTCAGGCCAGTAGAGACCACCAAGCCATCAACCGGGCCTGCGCAAATGCTTGACAAATGATGTTTTTGAGGTCAAGGAGCTAAAACTCCTCCCTGAAATGATGAGGCTGCTGTCATTTTGTGAACATGCTTTATATGAAGAGGCATGAAGCTTGGCTACACTTGCGCAGAGCATCAATTACCTCACGCCTCCTTACCTCCAATCATCTGTTCTCACACTTCAGACCACCCCACCCCCTTATCCCGTGAATATCCCTTAGGCCCCCTTTTTCAGGAGGCAGATTCTCCCACCTCCTCGCTTGGCCGCCTTGTGATTAAATACTTTCTCTTTGCAAACTCATTGTCAGGGTGATTGACATAATCATGTGGCGCGCAAAATGAACCTGGTTCTGTAGCAGTGCATCCTTTTCTAACCTCAGTCTTCTTCCAACTTTCTAACTCAAGCTTTAGCCTCTGGTTGCGCCAGCCAAACTGCCCACAGTAGAGGCCAGTCCACTACAACAGCCATTCATTTCCCTTCTTTGCCTCCAGGCACTCTGTGCAGTTCCTCAAACAAGTGAATCAAACCAGCCAGCGTTTTCAGGGCGTCCCTGTACTCACATGGTGGTCCCCAAGCATCTAACACATGGGCCACCCCTCCTCACACAGAGGTCTATGGCCAACTCGAGATTTCCCCCACAGATGCCTCTTTCCCAAGGCCCATTTCTTTGGTCTTCTGGCTGGCTCACCAGTTGTTAATTTGCAACCTTGGGAGCTCCCTAGGGTGAAATTCAAAACTGGCCACCATACACAGAGGGCAAGAAGAGACTGAAGAAAGAGGCAGACCACTCCAGATTGGTAGGTGGCAGCTTTAATAAGCAAGGAAGTTACATACGAGGCTTGTCTTGGATGGCCACAAGACAATAGATCTCTGTGCCCACCTGCCATAATCTTAAAAGTTTATATAGAGGCCTTAACTGGGTTCAGTCAGGTGTTCAGTCCAGATGGTCTTAACAACACATTCCCCTCAAGGCTGCGTCCTTGAAAATGGCTCCTATTGTGGGAACGGTGGGCAGAGCATACATTCCAAGGACAGGGGAGGGGTTGAGGAGCATCTGATTGCCCAGGTCCAGCTCTCAGGTCAGCTGGTGGTCACACTCTCTCAATGACCTCCTCCAATGAACTGCACTTCTTGCCTTTGGGCACTGTTATCTGAGGACAAAATGCCTGGAGCTATGGCAGCCATCTTGCAACGATGAGGGGATAGTCTAAGGACAAAGCATCGCAATGATGGCCGCATCTTAATGTCATTGTTGAGTCACTGAATTAACTAACGACTGTATCTGGACCTCTTGTGTGAAGGCCTTTTGTACCTCCTTATGCAGTTTGATTGTCTCCTGTTACTTGCAGCCATAAGCAACCTTCTAATACGGACGTTAACCTCACTGCTGGTTTTATAAGCTTCTTGGCAATTATATGACTCGTACCTGCTTTTGCTATAAGAGCAACTTTGATTTATGCCACTGTAGTTTTGCTGTCTTCTCTGTATTTAACGACAAAATTAATTGACTTAAGATGGGAAAATGATATGTTGCAGTTGTTCTACAAGATCTCTGTTGCCCTATGTGAAGAGGTCATAATGCTCTGTTTGAAAATGGCACAAAAGCTTTGATAGCTTATGCCACTATTTGACAAAGTTTCATAATGGACAACAGCCTAGCAACAAATAGATAGCTGACCCAACCTGTGCAGATAGCTGCACACCACCTGTTTTCAGATGGTATAATATTTTCTAGGTATATTTTAATTTTTTGGCTCACAATCACTCACCCCAGCATTCCTACATCCCTATATTAAATGTGCATGGAAATCTCATTCAGTTTTAATTTTGATGACATTATTCTAGTTGGAGCAATTATGTTTTATTTTTTTAATCATAACTTTCATGCTTCGATGAATAATTTTTGAGCCACTGATCTATTTTTGTTATTTGGGGATATAATACAACACAAAAGCAACCCTGAAAAATGCAAATATAATGAATGTTAAGCAATAACTCACAAAGGAAAATTGTGTGAAAACAGCACCTCTTGCCTGCATGTCAGACAAGAGCCCACTGCACTCCTTGGAGTCCATAGACAACTTTAAAAACACAATTATTAAGGTTATAGCAGGATATCTGTGAAAGTCACCAGTTTCAAATGTGTGAGATCTATGGGTTTAAAAGTGTTTCTTGCTTTCTTTCTCTAAAACTTAGCACTTAGGAGACCAACAGAGACCACCAGTGGTTCATAGAACACATTTTAAGAAACAACACTGTAGGGCCGGCCCAGTGGCTTAGCAGTTAATTGCGTGCGCTCCACTACTGGCAGCCCAGGTTCGGATCCCGGGCGTGCACCAACGCACCGCTTCTCCGGCCATGCTGAGGCCACGTCCCACATACAGCAACTAGAAGGATGTGCAACTATGACATACAACTATCTACTAGGGCTTTGGGGGAAAAAAAGGAGGAGGATTGGCAATAGATATTAGCTCAGAGCCGGTCTTCCATAGCAAAAAGAGGAGGATTAGCACGGATGTTAGCTCAGGGCTGATCTCCCTCACAAAAAAAAAAGAAACAACACTGTAAAGATGGATTCTCATAAAGTCTAATCTGAAGCCCTACTTGTGGCTATTGCGTGATAATTGGTTTTTCTGGAGACTCCAAAGCTTCAAAATCCAAAGGCATTTTGGACCCTATGATGGTGGATGGGGGAGATATTTTGGGGTGGAGGAGAAGGGCCACTTTCCAGCTTCCCCTCACATCACAGGGTCAACTGCCTCCCCCTTCTGTTTTTCTAACTAAAACATCAACGTGGCCTGAGCATCACAGTGGTGGCAGCAGCAGCGGGATCTCTCCAGGGAAGGGAATGGTCTGCTATGTATTGGTTCTCAGCTCAGTGCCAGGCACCATTTTGAGCTTTATGCTGAGATGAGTGGCATAACAGCAAGAATGAGCTTATTGGGAGCGGCAGGTCCCTGATCTAGGACTTCGAAGTGCCCTTCAGTCGATAACCATACGCAAATAATGTCCTCTTCACCACATCCCAGGATTTGTAAGAAACATCTGTGTATTGGTTCACTGCAATGACCTTTCCAGCTGAGAGAACAGCCACTGAGAGCTGCCCCTTCTCCTTGTCCCCCACCCACAGCCCCATCAACTTCCATCAGTGAAAGCCCTGAGAATGGAGTGAGTAGATTAAGGTCAGTTTACCCCCAAATAAAGGGATGTTCAGGGTCCACCATGATTAGGGGACACCATGAGTGTCATTGTACAGGACTCACATCCATAAAACGCCTTAATTTTAGACCTTTAACATATTTCCCAATAAAAGTACATACATCTTTTTTGTGCAATATGTTAATTTATTAATTTTAAAACATTCAAAATACACAATTTTTATAATAATGTTCTGGCATTTCTTCACTTACTATATTTGGAACCTCAAAAAATGGAAGTGACCTGGGCCTCTTGATCTCTGAAAGTTCCTGGAGCTGGTTGAGCCAAAGTCGCACTGGGGCAGTGCCCTTCCTGGGGTTCCACTCCTCCCTCCTAGCCAGCAATGCTGACCAATGCTAGAAGCCAAGGTTACAAATTCCAATGTGCAGACATTTCACTCTCAATTCCGTTTGGGAAATATGGACTGAGATTCCCAAGATGAAGCTAAGACCTAATACTGACAGTATTTTACTAGAAATGGGGATGACAGGGAGGCACAGAGCAACTCACGGTGTGTGCATTGAAGCCTACCTTCTAGAAATGGAATTGGATTCCTAACATCAAGCTAGAGAGTTCAGATGTTATCCTGTGAGTAATAGAGAGCCACTGAAAATGGATGAGGATATGTGGCTTGTTCAGGACTGTATTTTAGAAAGATCACTGGTGGCTAGTGGGGGAAGAGAGACCAGGGCCTGAGGCTATTGTCAACATATTTCTAGGAAGAAATTCCAAGTCAAGTCTTCCAGGAGGCATAGCAGGGATCCTGTCCTAGGGTTTCCAACTGGAGACTTTACAAGACAAATGGCCTTTCCCAGGCAAGACACTTTATGCAAACATGCTGAATCCTCCCAAAGGGAGAAAGCAGCCTGATCCCAGCCTCCTTTAATGGAACATTTCTTCCCCCGCAGGCTTGTCTTAGGTGAGAGTAAGAGGGCCAGGAAACCTCTCAGAGAGTAGATCCAAAGGAGAATAGGAGGTAGTTTCTTATTGCGCAACTTGGGGGTCTGATGTCCCATTTTCTGGGACAGTCTGTCCATTTGCTTCCTCCATAATTTCCTTGTACTGACGTTTGAAGAAGCCAACCTGTGGGGAAGGAAAGAGGAGAAAATCAGGAAGTCCAGTGGAAAGAGGAAAAGAGATGACTGTGGGAGGGAGAGGGATCACCATTTCTGGAACTCCTATTATGTTCAGGCACTGCACTAGGAATTTTATACACATTGTGTCATTTAGACTTTACCACAATTCTGTGAGCTGGGTAGATCACCTTCAGAATGAGAAATCAAGACCCAGAGTAGACAAGGCACTTGCCTACAGTCACAGAAAGAAGCAGCGGTGGTGTCAACATCAAATCCAGGGCTGTGCTTTTATGTTATAATTTGCTGTCAAGGGAAATGTAGAGAGACAGAGAAGAGTGGAAAAGAAAGGGAGAGAAATTAGAGGAGTCCTGAGAATCAGATAGGAAGCCACAAACACGGGGGACAGCTGGGGACTGGTGATGTCATAGGTGGGAAGGGATCTCTCAAATGAAGTGACTTGGCAAGAATGTGCATCTGTCTCCAAGGTAAGCTCTTTCTTACACTGCAGAAAGAGTGGAATCAAATGCTGTTGGTGTCAAGAGTGGGATGAAACACTCACCTTGTACAGTACAGCTGTAATGAGAGCCAGAAGCAGCAGTCCTCCCACAGAGCTGCCCACAATGAGGGGGATGGGGTTGTGGACCTCATACTTCTCCAGCGTCATCCCCATCTGGAGTGAAGGTGACCCACCAGAAATTATCAGGCCTCTTGCTGTCTCAGTCTCTTCCCAGGTTCCCCAGTCTTTAACTCCCACTCCTCCTTCCCCAGGCCCTGCTCCAAGGGGTGAGATACAGAAGCATTCATGGGTTTAGGGACAAGCCCTCCCTCCAGGCTTGCAAGCCTCCCACCCAGCATCACAGATTTAGCAGCAGGAGCCCTCTTACCAGCCTGATCACTGCCTACCACACGACCACTACCTGGGCTCTCAAAAATGCCTCCTGTCCTGGAAGCTGGGAATACACAGATCTGTCGAATGTGATTTCAGCCACACTCACGACCAACAGCTTCTTCTGCAATGTCTGCAAAAGAGAGGGGGAGAGCTGGGGAACTAGCTCTGGGAAGGCTCAGAGTTTGAGAAATGTCCTGGCTTGAGGATGAGCACAGACACATCAACTACCACCTGAACCCAGGGAAGGGACTCTGCTGTTAGACCTACACACCTGTTTGACCCAGCCGAAGCTGAGGTTGCCCTTCAGGATGAAGTCAAGTTCCTCCTGGATGCCGAAGGAGGGGATGTCACAGCGGAAGCTCAGGCAGTCAGCAATGGAGCAGTTCTAGGGAGAGAGAAGTAGCACCAGGCCAGAGAAAGATGGGTTTGAAGGTGGAAGACAGCATTAAACTGTCTGATTTGAGGGGAGCAGCCACATCAGAATTCAGGAGGGACGTTCAGCAGATGGCCATCTGAACGTAACAGGGATTCCTGAATTAAATTCCTCTGATGTCTGGCTTAAAGTGGGGGACAGCGCAGAGCTCTCCTCACCAGCACAAGATTCTTCTGAATGTGGGTCAGGAAATCAGACTCTGTGGGCGCTATTTTCTCCCAAGGGCACTGAATGGATGGGTTCTAGGAAAAGACAGAGAGCAAGCACCTCAGGGGGGCCGTCAGGGATTCATGAGGGACAGGGAATCCAGGTAAAGGGTATTAGTGGAGGAGCCATACACAGTCCTTGAGTACCTGGGGGTGGGAGACCTCCACCTCTGTCCACACAGGCACTCGGTTCAGCTCCACAGGCACCAAGAAGTTGATGCTGACAGGCAGGTCCCTTTGTCCCAGGTTGTTTACCTGCACAGAGGGCAGTGAGGGCAAAGACCATGCCAAACCCCACATTCCCCCCCCGCCAATCTCTGGCTCCTGGGCCCCTGCCCCAGCCCACGTTCCTGAGTCACCATCACTTGCCTGGTATCTATGCTGGACCCTGCTGCTTTCCTTCTCCTCTGAGGCTGAGAAGTTGAGGTACTTGGTCGATTGTTCATGGCTGGGGAGAGAAGAGGCATGGGTAGATTTGAAGTTCTATGGGGGCCTCCTGAAGAGGCTCTGGCTGGGAGCATGACAAGACGGGGGTCACTGGGGCTTTGGAGTGGCCTAGAATGAGGTCTGTGGCTAACTTGGGGTAATGAGAGGGTGTAGGGACCAGGGCTACGCTTCCAGCTAGGTGCAAGGTGCTGGCAGAAGGTGCCAACAGAGGAAAGTGCCAAGGGGGCTGTGCAGAGGGTGGAGTGAAAGGGACTGAGAGCTATGCCACTGACTCACTAGGGGAGCAGGGGCCAGGGCCTGCCCTCTCTGTGCCTCAGTTTTCCTTTCAGCCCTTCACAGGCATGGAGGATGCTGGATGGGCATGTAGGACACAACAAAGATTTAGGAAGACTCAGGCTGATGCTGTTGACAAATGTCTACTGGACACTGCCCCTGTCTGGTGTTTCACAGGCCTTCCCTGGGGCCCTTCTCTCCTGTTTCTTTGGCTTTTCTGGGGTGGGGCTTGGAGGTGAAGGAGGGCCCAACAGCAGATTCTTCACTGGGTTTCAGTGTAACAATGCCTTCTGAGGCCTGCCTAGGCCCATGCCTGGAGACTCAGTGGCCAGCCTGGCCCCTCACACGAGCAGCTGGTCTCACTTCTGCCCCTCCCTGCTCCTCTCCTTGGGTACCTGTCCATTGCCTGCACAGTCCAAATTCTAGACCACCACTCCTACTCTGAAGTCTCATCCTTCTTCTGTGCGGGACTCCCCAAAAGTGCCCCAGCCTCATCCTGGGGGACCTTCTGAGTGCCCCCACCCACAGGGTTACATCTGCAGAGTACAGCTATGCTGTAGGGCCACACACGACTAGATGTGGTGTGCCCTGCCTGTGAGTGCCCTGCAAGGAAGTGTGCTAATCCCAGTGCACACTCCAGCAAGCAAGCTCAGAGCATGCACCTGGCTGGGCTGCCGAGAGCCCACAATATGAAGATGTGAATGAGCATGTGAAACTCTAGGCAGGAGGAAGACATCCAGTGAGTCACGTGGGCCGAACTAGCAGAGGAATGTACGCAGGCTAAGCCACATGGGCCTGTTACACCTCACAAATGCACACATCCCACAAGGGCAAGGGTTTACATCCGGTTTTGATTACACATAATAGAGGCTCAATAAATCTTTGCTGAATATCAAATGAATGTATGGAAAACAACCACAGCACTGCGTCTGGAACATAGCAAATGCGAGGAAGGTATTTGTTGAAGGAAGGCATCTGCTCAAACACTTGACTTGACTCCTTGGTTTCAAACACCTCGCCTATCCCTCCTTGGGCAGCATTATAGGGCATTTTCCTTTCATCCAGCTTCTCCCTGATATCCAGCCTCTGCAGCAGGCAGGTCATTTCTCCCTATCCTTCCCAAAGGGGACTGGGAAAAGGAGGAGTAGTGGTTCTAAAAGCCCTGTAGGGTGTAAATCTACTCCTAGCAATGAAGAATTGTACTGCCCAAATGCCAAGGGCCAAGTCAAATGCCGTGGACCCTTTAACCCTTAGCTGAGGCTCCTTTGACAGGAGGCCCTAGCCTCCTGGGAAACTCACACAGCTTCGGGGTGCAGAAGCACAGCCAGGCCCTTGGTGAGATTCTGCCTTGGATCGTGGTAACCTTGCTCCCCGCTATGGCTGTAGGAACCTTGAAGACAGGGACATGTCTCATATCTCTTAGGGAATGTAGGACAATATTGGGCTTTTGAGAAAGCCTTCTGAGAACTATAGCCTCTATTAAATGTAGGAAGTATGATAATAATATCACAATTATTATTATCATAGCTAGTCTGCAATAAACACTAGATGATTGATGAGTAAGTACAGCTAGCAGTATCATCTATTGATTGAAAGGGTGGCAATGAAACCTAAATATCCCAGATGTTTAGCTGCTGCCAGGAATGAGAATCTCCCCCAGCCCCACCAGAGTGATGGAGAAGAACGCTTTTGAGGTCGTGGTTTGGCACCTGCTGATCACGGTGTAGACAGCGTACTTCACCGGGAGCTCCAGCTGGAAGGTGGTCTTGCTGGTCCTGGGGGTGTTATTATCACTGAAGAAACAGAAGGATCTCGGTTGACAAGTGCTCCAGAGGAGGAGGCTGGGCGTGAAGGGGTGCTGCCTCAGGCCTGGCCCAGCTCACCTGCTCACATTGGCTGTCAGAAGAAGCCGATCTCCTAGCATGGCCTTGGAGGAGACGTCAAAGGTGACCATGAAGGTGATCTGAGAAAGAGGCAGGAACAGGGGGGAGGTCACCAAGGATTGAGACAGGGTAGGAGCAGAGGAGTGGGGGTGGGCAGAAGCAAGGCTGACCTGGGCGCCCTGGCGGAAGACAAGGTAGTTGATGCTGCAGCGAGTGCTCTGAGTGCCCTGGCCCCTGGATGGGGGACTGTCACAGGTTAGGCGTGGGGAGTGTGGCTGCAGCTGGCTCTAGGCAAGGACAGTTGAAAAAAGACAGGTGAGCATCTGTTAGTGTTCCAAAGAGACTCCATGAAGTAGTGAGAGTTTCCTGGAATCTATTTTAAGGTTATGTTTTACAAAATCCTTGGACACTACCTGGTCAAACTTCCTCCTAATGTAGAAATCCCAGATTTATTAGAGTTTCCCCCTTTTTTATTTATTATTTTTTAAAAGAATTTTTTATGGAAAATTTCAAACACACTCAAAAGTAGAGAGACTAGATAAATCAACCCCCATGTACCCATCGCTCAGCTTAAATTATCAACATTTGCCTACTCTTGTTTCATTCAGCTGCTCTCCACTTTTTTTTCTGAATAATTTAAAACACATTCCGAATATCATATTGTTTCACCCAGAAATATTTCAATGTATACCAACAACAGATAAGGGTATTTTTTACCATAACCACAAGACTCAACAAATCACACCCAACAAAACTAACAACTCCTAAATATCAGCTAATATCCAGGTCATGTTCAGTCTTCCTAGATTGTCTCCAAAAATGTTATTTTATAGCTGATTTTTAGATCAATATCCAACGAAGGTCCACACGTTGCATTTGGCTGATATGTCTGGAAGTACTTTCAATGACAGGGCGCTCACCCCTCACGCCTCTGGAGCTTGCCATTCCCAGTGCATTCCTTCAGACTAATCAAAATGTGTCTTCATTGGGAATACTAGCCTAAGAGAGACATAGGAGACCAACCAACCAAATGTAACATGTGGACCTAGTTTATATGCTGATTCAAATAAACCAGACGTAAAAAGATATTTTTGAGACAATTAAGGAAATTTGATTATAGTCCCCATACGAAGGAATCATTCATTTCATTGGGTGTGATAATGGCATTGGGGTCATATAAGATATCCCCACTATCCAGAACTATCTAGCAAAATAGGGAGGAGCACAATGGCACGAGGTCTAGGATTTGTTTTTGTTTTTTTTGTGTGTGAGAAAGAGCAGCCCTGTGCTAACATCTGCCAATCCTCCTCTTTTTTTGCTGAGGAAGACTGGCCCTGAGCTAACATCCATGCCCATCTTCCTCCACTTTATATGGGACGCCGCCACAGCATGGCTTGCCAAGCAGTGCGTCTGTGCGCACCCGGGATCCAAACCGGCGAACCCCAGGCTGCCACAGCGGAGCGCGCGCACTTAACCGCTTGCGCCACTAGGCCGGCCCCATAGGATTTGTTTTAAAATACTTCAGCAAAGGGGGAAAAAAAAAAAACAGATGAAACAAATGTGGCAAAATGTTGCTAATTGTTGAATCTGGGTGATAAGTTCTGGGGAGGTTTGTTGAATTACTCTCTACTTTTGCAAGTGTTTAACATTTTTCATAATAAAACTTTGTTAAATCTCTGTTTCTCTTTGACACCGGGCAGTCCTAGTTCTGTCTTCTAGAACAGGGATTGCCAAACAACAGCCCACCACCAATTTTTATAAATAAAGTTTTATTGGAACACAGCCATGCTCATTCATATACATGTTGTCAATGGCTGCATTCGCCCTACAACAGGAGAGTTGAGTAGATGCGACGGACCCTGCACGGCCCACACAAGTGAAATATTTACTATCTAGCCCTTTATAGAAAAAGTACGTCAAGCCCTGATCTAGAGTAACCAATAAATTCAACTCCTACAGAATGGTGTTTTAAAATATTTGAAGGCTAAGATATGTTTTTCTTTTTTTTTTTTTTTTGTGAGGAAGATCAGCCCTGAGCTAACATCCATGCTAATCCTCCTCTTTTTGCTGAGGAAGACTGGCCCTGAGCTAACATCTATTGTTCCTCCAATCCTCCTCCTTTTTTTTTTTGCCCCAAAGCCCCAGTAGATAGTTGGATGTCATAGCTGCACATCCTTCTAGTTGCTGTATGTGGGACGCAGCCTCAGCATGGCCGGAGAAGCAGTGCGTTGGTGCGCGCCCAGGATCCGAACCCGGGCCGGCAGCAGCAGAGCGCGCGCACTTAACCGCTAAGCCACGGGGCCGGCCCTATGTTTTTCTTTAAAAGAGGAATGTTGATATGATGTGGAATACAAAGAAATTTAAAGCAGGGTGCCCTCTTTCTCCACATTAACAGCCTCTTGGGTATTCCTTCTTGATAGCCAGTGTCCTTAAAACGCAATGCCTAGAGCTGAACACAGCTTGAGCCCACCCAGGTAAGTCCCCGACAGCACAACCACATCCATCCAACCATGAGCAGCCCAGACCTCTTGGCTTATGAGAGGCTGCTAAGCGATGGCAGCCCCAGCCTGAGCTTTGAACCCCACACAGGAGTCTACTGATCCCCAGTGGTCAGCCACTTCCTCCCCCAAGGGAATAATACCTGGACCCCTGCCACACGTCGATAAGACAGCCCTGGAGGGTAGAAAAAGGTGACTGCGGTTCCATAAGAGTCCTCGCCATCATTCCTCACTGTCACTTCCATGTTCAGCTCCAGGTTACTCCCCACAATCAGGGTCTTCAAGCTAGGTGTTGGGATAGAGGGCAGGATTCTGTGACTGGGGCTAGAAATGGTCTGGGGATGAAACACAGAGCGGGGAGGTCGGGGAGAGACGAGGGACAGGATGTCTGGTTTCCGAGCACAGGATAGAAATGGTAGTGAGGGCCGGGGCAGGAGCTCTAGGTTCCAGGAGGGGGCTGGGGGACCAGGGCAGATCTAAGGAGGTCTAAGGTGGCTTCTCACCCTGAGAAGCCAAAGGAGATGCCAAGGTCGTCCTGGCAGACATGGTCGGCTCCACAGTTCTTCTCAAAGGGGAGCTGAGAGGGAAGGCAAAGCCGGGTTTTCCCTAAGGTCTGGAGTCCACACCCTCCACCCTCTCTGGAAGATCCCAACACGGGGACTCACAGAGGCCGTGAAGTATCTCTGAGCATCCACAGCCAGTATAGGCCGGATGCTTCCGAAGGAAGGGATGGGCTCGCCCACCAGGGAGAAATTGAGACGCAAGATGATAGGAGTCACTGAGTCCTCCACACAGGCCTAGAGGATGGACATTGAAGACAGCAGGTGACTAAGGAAAGCACCCTCACGTTCATTAGCTGTGTCCCATCTCCTCATCTGTGGAATGGGGTAACAACGATACCTACCTGCACTCTATAAACGCTCATTGCTACGATCCCACCGTGCAGAACCTCTGCTGTGCTTGTCATCTGCCTTGAACTCCCTTCCCCCAGCCTCCCACAGGCTCACTCACTCTATTCAGCATCTTCTCAAACTTCACCTGCTCCAAGAAGCCTCCCAACACCCTCTTTGTTCTCTCCCTGGCTTTATCTTTCTTCATAGCATTCATCGCTACCTGACATCTATTATCCAGGAACCTGATTGTTTTTGGTCTTCCCCCAGAGCTCCCTATGGGCACAGGCTGTTTTGTCCACTGCTGTTTCCCTGGCACCTAGGATGGGGCCTGTCTCAGAGGAGCGGCTCGATGAAAGAATCCCTGCCCACCACCCCATAGTTCTTTGAAGCAACTCTCTTTCTTGAAATCCAGCTGTGTAGCTTCTGGCGATTGCAGCCAACCCATCCATTCATTCAGTCACTCGCTCTCTCATTCAGCTAACAAGTTTTAAGCACCTCCTGCATGCCAGGTACCGTGCTGCGGATGAGCCACAGCAAGGACCAGAACACACCCTGTTCTTTCCCTGCCCAGCCCACTGCCAGCCTCAGAATTGCCTCCATCCCCAGGACTCCGAGGTCCCCTCACCGGGAGGAGCAACTTCACAGCCTCACAGTGTTGCTTCAGCCCAAGCACTCGGACACGAGTCAGATTCCAGGTCTTTGTCTCCTCGAAGATGGCACGGGGACTCAGGCGGCCAGGGTCAAGGGTCAGGTCAAAGGTCACAGAGCTTTTGAGGTCACCTGTAGGGGAAAGTAAGGGATGGGGAGGGTTGAGAGAGCCAGGAACTCCTCAGGTGGGCAAGTGGCAAGGCAGGAGACAGGAGTCCTAAGCTGGAGACTCCAGAGGTGAGGATGTCCTGGGCTGGAGAGGAGAGGACTCACCCAGCCGGTTCTTGGGGGTTTCATAAATACGAAGGCAGACATTGGCGACACCCAGTTCCCGGCCAGAGGCCATCTGCTCCTGACACTCAAACACAGACCTGGCAATCTCTGCAGGTGTGATGTGGATGTTCGTCCACACCCTGAGCACAGGTCTAGTCCTGTGGATAGAACACTGAGCTGAGGACAGGCTCTTGGTCCCGGGAGGACAACATGGGATGGGGAGTGGGGAAGCTGGTGTCCCATGTGGACTTAGGACCACCTGGGGAGCGTCTCACCTGAGCAGCAGCACGTGCCCCTGGGCCCCCACAGCCAGGTCCACCAGTCCGTCCAGGGTGAGATCCTGACCCCCGCTCAGCGACTGCCCAAAATACTGAAGCCTGGGGGAGAGCTGGGAGCCTGTGATCCGCTGGCCAGAGAGGGAAAGGCAAGCCGGGTTGAGAGGTGAGGGAAACAAGTTGGAAATCAGCAACAAGAGGAATAAGGAGGTAGGAATGTGGGAGACAGAAAGAAGAGGTAAGTAGTGAAAAGATGTTGCCAAGAAGTGCCTAAAAAGAGGAGGTGGGGATGGGGAAATGACGACTAGAGAAAAGGAAAGAGTCCTGAGACATAAATGAAGAAGTAGCGATTGAAAGACTGGCCTGGTGACCTGCTTCATTCGTTGCTTTTCTAGTTAGTCTCAGGTTCCAATTCTGCCTCCTCCACTTATGAGCCATAAGGCCTTGGGCCAGGATTCAATCTTTCTGTGCCTCAGTTTCCTCATCTTTCACGTGGGGATAATACCTCAGAGTTCAGCCATGAGTAGTAAATGAATTAATTCATATAGTTCCTAGAACAGCACTTAGAATATGGTCACTAGTCAATTACTTATGATGATGAGTATTAAGGCTGGAAGGGACCTTGGAGCTCATCCAGGCCCACCTCCCACTTCACAGACAGTGCCAAGACCACACAGCCTTTAAGAGGCTGACTCCAGACCTGAAATCAGATCCTCTGACCTCATGCCCAAGGCCCCTTTTTGCTCCCCATGGCCATCCTGTCTCTTCAGAGGACTAGGAGGGGCCAAGTTGGAGTGGCAGCGCCCATACACAGATTCTACACGCCCCTTGAGGTCCCTGCTCTTTTATTTCCATCGCTCCTATAATGAGGAGCAATTCCTTGGAGAATGTGCCCTTTAAAACTCTGGGTGCTACTGGGACTGGCAGACATTAAGAGTAGTAATAATAAAATGAAAGAGAAATTTACCAATTACTAAGAGAGTCTAGAAAGGAAGGGCCGGCCCAGTGGAGCAGCGGTTAAGTGTGCGTGCTCCCCTGTGGCGGCCCGGGGTTCGCAGGTTCGGATCCCGCGCGCACACCGACGCACCACTGGTCAAGCCACGATGTGGAGGCGTCCCATATAAAGTAGAGGAAGATGGGCACGGATGTTAGCCCAGGGCCAGTCTTCCTCAGTGAAAAAAAAAAAAAAGAGGAACATTGGCATCGGATGTTAGCTCAGGGCTGATCTTCCTCACAAAAAAAAAGAAAGGAAGAAGGGGGTAGAAATAGTACAAACACAGTCAAGTGGCCTCACGCTCTGGGAAATTGATCTCACAGCCATATCCTCACATTGGTGTATGGGCCCATGGGGAACAAGGCAAGTCCTTCCCAGTCAAGTATGTGGTGGGATATGTCATGGAGGGAAGAAGGAAAATCACGGCGGGCCAGCGAATCTGGAAAGGTCTCCTCTTGGAGTCAGGCTTTGTGGGTATAACTCAAGTGATATTTGCAATTGGGGGTCTACGGAAATATGCCTCTAAGCTGCTGCAGCCAGGGGAAGATCAATAAGTTGGTGTGGACTGAATGTAGTTTCATGACAACAGGTGGCCTCTTGTTATTCTCAGAAAAGGCATTCACTCTCTTCCTAAAGTTCCAAGTTCTTTAGAACCCTTGCAGTTGTTCAACTGTATTAACAATAATGGATTTAATGATATAACACATATTATGTGCTAGGCACACGTGTATGTATGTGCTATATATGTCTTCATCCTCACAGCAGCAGCCCAATGAGGTTGACTCTACGATTATCACCATTTTACAGATGAGGAAACTGAGCACAGAGAGGTAAGTAATGACCACGATCACGTAGCTGCAAAGTGACAAAACTGCACAGATTGTCTTTGACATTTTTTTCCAACAACTTTTTGAGACATAATTCACATACTGTATAATTTACCCTTTTAATGTACACAAGTCAGTAGTTTTTAGGATGTTCACAGAGTCATGCAACCACCACCAAATCAATTTTAGAACATTCTCATCACCCCAAAAAGAAACCCCATACCCGTCAGCAGTCACCCCCTTGTCCCTCACTTCCCCCTACTCCCAGCCCCCAGCAACTACTAATCTACTTTTTGTCCCTATGGATTTACTTATTCACATAAATGGAATCATACAATATGTGGTCTGTTGTGACTGGCTTCTTCCACTGAGCATAATGTTTTCAAGGTTTATCTATGTTGTAGCATGTCTCAGTACTTCATTCCTTTTATGGCTGGGTAAAATTCCATTGTGTGGGTATACCACACTTTATTTATCTATTCATCAGTTGATGAGCGTTTGAGTTGTTTCCACCTTTTGGTTATTATGAATAATGCTGCTATGCACATTCATGTATAACTTTTGGTGTAGAATATGTTTTCAATTCTCTTGGGTGTAATTGCTGGGTCATACGGTAACTCTCTGTTTAACTTTTTGAGGCAATGCCAAATTGTTTTCCAAAGTAGCTGCACCATCGTACTTTCCCACCGGCAGTGTATGAGGGTACCAAATTCTCCACATCCTCATCAACACTTGTTAGTATGTGTCTTTATGATTCTAGCCATCCTAGTGAGTGTGAAGTGGTGTCTCATCGTGCTTTTGATTTGCAGATGACTGACAACTTATGTTGTTGAACATCTTTTCATGTGCATATTGGTCCTTTGTATATTATCTTTGGAGAAATGTCTATTCAGATCCTTTGCCTGTCTTTCAATGGGGGCTTCTTTGACTTTTGCCAAGGGTCTCTGCCGCATTAGTTGAAGGGCTCCTGCCTATTTGGGCATTTGGCAGGATAACTGACGGCAGGAGAGAAGAAAGTCATATAACATCTGAGGATGAAGGAGTGAGTGGACAGGCAGACTGAGCAGCCGGACCTAAACTGATTGGCAACAGGGAGCCACCAAGAGACCGAGTACTGGGTTAGCAGTCAGGAGATTGGAACCTCCCTAATTACCATTCCTGATCCACTATAAACCCTAGACAAGTCAAGTCACTTATGTCTTCCGCGCCCTAGATTTCACCTGTAAGATGGGTTTGCTAACGTCTGGCCTATGTACCTTGTAAAGCTGCTGCGGGATTAAAAGGTCTGGGTGGAGAACCCACTTAAGTATCAAGTCCCCACACAAAGCAAGGAACCTACCAGTCAATGTTTTCATTTCTCAAATTCCGCAGATTTTGCTTGCTGCCTACAAGGTGCTCAGTGCTGGCAAAGGAGGTAAGATGAGCTAAAGGAGAATTTTCCAGGTGCAGTGTAGAAGATGGGGAGAAGCAAAAGGAGGTTGTTGTAGGGACAGGATCTGTGACCAGTCCTCACCTGGCTGTGGGAGGGGCTTATGCCCGGTCCTGAGGTTCCATGAAATAGATAGACGGCACCCTGGTTCTCCTGCTCTCCTGGGGCCCCAATGGCCACATCTGTCAGCTTGTCCCCATTCGCATCCCCCAGCACCGTCAGGGCTGCCCCAAAGCGGCCCCAGGGGTGGCCCTGCTCCCCACGGAGAACAGCTTCACACTGCCACTTAGCCCTCTGCAGAACAAAACCAGTGTCAGGACCCAACCCAGGCAACCCCTCCACCCCACACCCAGGCCCCACCCAGCCCAGGTCTCACCAGCCACTCACCCCCCGGGGCAAAGAGCACACAGACACCTGGCCCCCCTGGGTTGGCTCGTAGTAATGGGGAGCCCCAATGAGGACCAGGTCGGAGCTGCCATCTCTGTCCACATCCACAGAGCACAGGGAGGCCCCGAAGTAGGAGCCGATCTGCAGGGCAGAGCCTGAAGTCATCCTGCCTGCCCCTGCCGGAGGAACCCCTTCTGGGCCAGGACCCGCCTCTACCCAGCCACCAGGACCTCCCCCCATGGGCCCCAAACCCCCTGCGTCTCCCCCCTCTCTGTCCCTGGAGACCCTGCCACCGTCATGTTCCACTTGGCTTCCTTCACACTGACCTGGGTGCCTGTGACGTTAGCCTTCAGCGTCCATTGCCTGGACACCTGGGTGAAGATGCCAACCATCCCGGTGTGCTGATGGCGGGGGGCCCCCAGGACAAGGCTCTGCACCCCCTTCCAAAGGGCCAGCTCGGTGGAGTAACCTGAGGGGGCCAGGCCTCAGCACAAAGGCTTTCCCTCTAGCCCCCTCCCCTGGGCTCCTGCCCCCCCAGGCAGCTCATCCCCCACCTGTCCCCCAACCACAGCCTTTTCTCACCCAGGTAAGAGTCTCTCATGTCCACATTGTTCTGAGACACGTAGATGAAGGTGGGGCTCATATTTGGGGGGTATAGGAAGGCACCTCCAGACCAGCCAAAGCTCCCCACAGCCCCCAGAACGGGCCCATCCTGGGAGGAAAGGATTCCAGGGCTGAGCAGGCCAGAGTGAGACGACAGCCTACTCCAGAACAATGCCTGCGCTGACCCCACTCACTCATGATGCCCACCCTTGCCTTCCCTCCTCCCTTCTCTCCCTCATTCTACATCAGTGGCCTGAAAAGTGCCCCACTCACAGGCGTGAACACAGCACTGAAGCCCTCCTGGGCCATCTCCAATTCGAAGGAACTACTGCTTAGGGTCTGTGTACCTAGGTGAAGGCATGACACTTAGATTCCAGGGGGAAAGACAGGCTTTGCCAGGTCCAAGAAGTACACCTCAGCTGTAAGAGGATCTAATGTTGGAGACTAATACTGAAAGGGAAGGGTTAGTGCCCATGACATGGGTGTCTGGGTTCAAGAAGGAAAAGAGTTTATGGGTGAAGGTTTCTGAAGTGAGTAGTTTCATCTCTGACTTACCTTCAATGGCAAAGATCTTCTCTTTCAATTGGTTTTGAACGTCTCTCAAAGCATCAAAGTTCTCCACGGTAAATATATGTTCATGGGAGGGCTTCGACGCAATGTCATTTAATTCTTTCCAGGATTGTAGCCCTTGAAAAGCCGATCCCACCTGTCCCCAACAAAGACCAACTCCATGAAAATTATCAGAAATCTAATATGCCTACCGTGTGCTGGGTGCTGATATCCTCCAATAACCCAGCAAAGTCAATATTATTACACCCGATGTACAGGTGAGAAAAATGCGGTTCAGACTGCATCAAGGAGTTTAGGGAAAAGGATCATGGGTCCCCCAGGCTGGAATAGAGTTTTCCCCCTGGAGGTAATAGAAGCTGAGAGAGCTGGGGTTTCTGTCCTTGAGGGGGAAGTTGCCTTAAGAGGAAGAAAGGGGAGGAAGTGGTTGGAGGGCATCCCACATCCTACCCCGACTGCATAGCGGATGATGCCCGCCGCCTCAGCCATGGGGATGACAGCCTCATAACCCAGGGGGTCGCCTTGTTTCCGCCCATCGGTGATGACGATGAGGACCTTGGAGGCATCCTTTCGGGCCCCACTTTGGGCACTGAACAGTTTTTTTCTGTCAGGAAAGAAGAGAGTCCTGAGGCCTGTGAACAGAACTGCTGCTAGTCCCTGTGCCTGTGTGAGAACAAGGAGATGCCACTTCCTCTGGGAAGCCCCGGTCCCATCCGGAGGGCCCCAGCTTGGCCAGGAGACCACAGACAAATTTTGGTCCTCATCTGTCCCTTTCTCATGGAGCTAGATGAGGCCCAAAGGAAGACGAGATGCTTTGGGGAAGGGTGTGGGAGAAGTCAGGACTCACGTGACCTCTCGGATGGCTGAGGCTGTGTGAGTGTACCCTCTCAGCTGGCGTACAGAATTCAACAGGTCTAGTGGGTCTGAGCTGTGCATGAAGAGTTCGAAGGTGAAGTGCACCTGGAATATGCTGGCGAACTGCATCAGGGAGAACTGGAAAAAAAAACGTGGGGCTGGGGGCCAAGGCCACCCCACCAGAACCCCTGGGGCTCCTCCCACCAGCCTCCCCCAGTAGGCCCTGCACGCTCGCCTTCCCTCCCCCGAGGGCACACCTGGGTGCTGGGTCTCTGGAACTGGCTCATGATAGCTCTCACGAAGTTCAGCATCTTGGCAAAATCTCTGGAGTTGATGCTGCCTGAGCCGTCAATCAGGAACACAATGTCATGATCCTGCTTCGGGCACTCTGGGGAAGGAGGTGGCACCATCGGGAAGGCCAGAGTCAGAGCCCAGGACCTCAGCCTCCTAGACTCAAAACTAACCCCCTCACCCCCACAGTGGCTTCCCTAACCCCGACCTAGAACAGGGCCCTTCCATCTCCTAAAATCTCTAAAGAGGCTACATCTGTGATTCAGCTGCTCAAACCTGCACAGCCAGCCTGGTTGATAAAAAAAGTGCAAGTTCCTCCAATCCAGATGGTAAGAAGCTGAGGGGCCCTCCTTCTACCTTGGCTGTCCATGCCCCTCCCCCTCGGCCCTACCCCACCTCTTCCCCCAACATCCCCATGATCCAGCATGAAAGGACCCTGCTCTTGCCCCTGGCCAGGGTCTGTCTTCATTGGTGAGTGCCAAACTGTACTTTTTTTTTTTTTTTTGCTGAGGAAGATTGGCCCTCAGCTAACATCCATTGCCAATCTTCCTCTTTTTGCTTGAGGAAGCTTCACCCTGAGCTAACATCCATGCCAATCTTCCTCTATTTCATACATGGGTCACTGCCGCAGCACGGCTGCCAACGAGTGGTGTAAGTCCACGCCCAGGAATCGAACCTGAGCCACCGAAGCAGAGTGCACCAAACTTAACCACTAGGCCAGGGGGCCAGCCCATTGTTAAATATTTTTAAGTCACCCATGTTGACAGCCACACACTGGCCCTATTCTGTTTTCAGCATAAATACAGGCCCCTACTCCCCTTCTGGATAAGTGTAGAATCTGTCCTCAGAAGAGGAAGCTCTCCCAGCTCCCAGAGAGGAGACCCCATTCCATTCCTAGCTCCCAGCTTCCCCTTTCTGCCCCAAAGGCCTCCCACCAGGTAGAGTGGTGTCCTGGGTGTTCTGATGGGAGCCCAGGCGCCTGGGGGTGAAGTCTAGAGCCCCATTCAGTGGCCGGATGTCCATCTCTCCAAGGGCCTGAGTGTGAATGTGAAACCAGGGAGGGGCCTTGGTCTGCTGTGGGCTGGATCTGAAAAGCTCACATTCCACCTCATCTCCCATCCTCACCAGCACAAGGGAAGCCAGATCCTATGTCTCAACCTCCACACACACACACACACACACACACACACACACGCTCACACACACACGCACACATACGTGTGCGTGCACACATGTGCACGTACACATGCATGTGCACACACGTGTGCTTACACGGGCACACACATCCCTGCATCTATACACATGCACATGCACGCACACACACATACACACTGTTTAGTGTCTGCACCGTCATCATCCTTTCCCAGGCTGCTGCACAAACCAATTGGTTATACCCCAGGGTGCACTGGGTGGAAATAAATTCCCTTCTCTCTAAAAATAATAGCAGCTGGCATTAATTGAGCCCTCACCACATGCCAGGCACTGTCCTAAACCCTGGCCATGGATCATCTCATGTTATTCTCAGCGCTGAGTGTGTTATTATCCCCATCTGACAGACGAAGAAACTGAGGCTCAGAGAGGCTAAGGTCATAGAAAAGGCCTGCAGTGGGATGGTGATGGGGCACTGGGGAAGCAGGCGGTGACTCCCAGCCCGTGTTTAGAGCCACTACACCATCCAGTAAATATTTTTTTCCGTGTCTTGCTTTTTTTATCCACTCTGGCAAGAGTGCCTCTGGCCCCATTGCACCCCTAGTCAGCCATGAGTGGGCTCCTCAAAGGACAAGGTGGCCCCGAACACTCACCCTGCAGGGCAGCAGGGAGCCTCTGGGCCTGCCAGGATGGGGAGGCCATCAGGAAGCAGAACCCAGTCAAGTACACGTTCTCCCTGCATGCATGGTGCACGGTGGGGCCACAGGCCTGGGGACAGAGAGGGCTGGTGGGAGGGGCTTCCCTGCTTCTGTCCCACCCTCCAACCCCAGCACCTCCACCCTAGTCAAGACCCCAGCCCCAGCAGCCCCAGGTCCCCACTCCTCCCCTCAGGATGCTCTCGTGACTCAGGGCAACTCACCAGCAGCTGAGAGGGGTTGGTGGCAGCCGCCAGGGACAGGCCCAGAGACATGTTCACAGCCTCTGGGGGGACTAAGGAGACAGATATTTGCACGGTCACCCTCAGGACAGAGGAAGCTGTGTAAGATCTGGGCAGGGGGCACCTCAACCCTGGGAGACAAGGAGATCTAACAGGTCAAGGGGGCTTTCAGGTCTTGGTGAAGCTACGGGGGGCAGGGGTATGTTGGGCAAGGAGGCCTTGAGGGGGTCAGGAAGCCTGTCTGAGGGTAAGGGTCTGCAGACAGAGCTGAAGCTGGGAAGTGGGTCTCCTATGCTCCGCTCAGGCCCCCAGATCATGGCAGCCAGGACCTGGGTCCCGGGGAGGGGCAGCGACTCACCCTGCAGGCGGATGGCCTCACACCTGCCTGTGCTGTAGTCACACTGGTAGAGGCCGCCTGTTTGGTTGGCAGCCTTTATCTCCTGGGGGGCTCCAACCACCACCCTGGGGGGAAAGAACACTACAGTTAAGAGTGTGGACACTGGAGTCAGACTTCACCTCTCTGAGCCTCCATTTCCTCATCTGTGGACTGGAGATTAACAACAATTTAAGCTCCAGTGGGATGGATTTTTGTCTGTTTTATTCTCTAGTGTATGCCTGGCTCCTGAGACATACAGAAGATGCTCAACAAATATCTGTTGAATGATTGATTACTACCTCATAAGGTTGTTGTGAGGACTAAATCATGGCCCACTAAAGGGTGCCTGGCACAGCGCCTGGCGCTGTGCTCAATAAACATTAGCTGTGATTGTTGAGATGGCAAGGCAGCGCCTGCTTTCAGTCCAGCTCTTCATGACCTTGGGGGAATTGCCCTACCCGACAGAGAAGACAGTTTGTGAATATAGGGAAGGGCATGGGGAGGAACAGGACTCTGTGCAGCGAGAGGCATTGAGAGCCAGAGGCCAGTCACCACCCGGGCCTCACCGAGAGTCGGCGTACTGGACCACGCTGTGTCCAAAGCCAGCACTATCCATGTGGAAGATTGTTGGCTGGTCCGTGTCCAAGTTGAAGCAGAGAGAGGAAGCCAAGGCTGAGGAGAAGAGTGAGAAGAGAAGCTTTGGAGACGAGTCTTCCTCCTGCTCTATCTCCCTGGCCCCCAGCCCCCTGCTCTCCTCTCCAGGCCCAGTGTCCCAGCGTCTCCTGGTCTTCTGGACTCCCAGGCTCAGACCTCCCTCGGCCTTGCTTCTCCCCTTCAGATAGTCCAGAGACAGCACTTCACCCTGGCTTGCTGGCAAGTTTCAATTCTCCATTTCCACAGAGCAGTACACAAGCTCTGAAGATGCTCCTTCCCCACCCCCACCCCTGGGGTTCCTAGGAGGGAGAGTCCAAGAAAACTTGGGGCCAAAGGGACCCTGTGGACAGAACACAAGGTTGACTTGTTTTGCCTGCTTGAGAAATCTCTGGGTTGTCCAGGCAACCGGCATCTCTTCCAGCATCTCTTGAACTTCTGCCAAATTGGTTCATCAGTATTCTCTCCCTCCACAAACTAAAGACCCCAAACCCTATGTAACTCCAGATCCCTCCCCTAACGTCTTAGTCTAAAACATGTGCGTTCTCAGCTCTCTCCATTACCTGGACCCCAACCCCCTTTTCCTCTTTCATCAGATTCCCCAGCTTACCCATCAGCAGGAGGAGAGATGTCCTGGTCCTGGTCATAACTGGAAGGTCAGACATGTTCTTCTGAGCTCCTAGCCACTGGAGGCACAGCCGGACCAAGGTGCCAAAGGAGGAAGCGAGCAGAGAGGTGGTCAGGGGGCTGGAGGCAGGGAGGGAAGTTGTCAGCATGACTCAGAAGTAGAGGGTGGAGAATACAACTAACTAAAATAAGCAAAGAAAGGGGCCGAGGCAGCCCATGCACTTCAGGTCTAAGAGTCTTTCTAACCACAGATGACTTGGCTTGCTTCTCTTGCCTCACCAGTCTAGGCTTGTGTGGATGCAAATCCCCTGCCCTGTTCCACCTCTCCCAGGATCCCTTGACCTTGAAACTTCAGTTAGCCTGGGCAGAAGAAAGGGGCAGATGCCAGGGTGGGGTCAGGGCCCTAATGGAGACCTTGGTGGGAACCCTCCACTTCTGATCTGGAAACCTCTGGGCCAGGGAGTCAAGCATCTGGCTCCTAGGAGGAGTACAGAATGGATGTTCACTCATTTATTCAATAAGCCTAATTTGAGGCTGATTATGCACAACTTCTGTTAGCAGAGGGAGAAAACACAAACCACAAGGCCCCAGCCCTGGGGTCAGAGGAGAATGCGAATGTGTAAACAGCAAGTCTCACTATGAGGGGAAGCCCATTGACCACAGGGTGCCTTACCCAGGGTAGGAAGGTGTGGATTTCCAGGAAGGCTTCTTGGAGGAGGTGGCACTTGAGCTGAGTCTTGAAGACAACTGACTATAGGGGAACGTGTTTCAGAAGAGGTAGCCAAATGTGTAAGAAGCACAAGACAGGAGGGCCTCTGGGAAAATCAGTGATAGAAACCAGAGAGTGGGAGGTGGGAAGCGGCAAGAGATGAGGTCAGGGCAGTGGGGCAGGAGAGAAGGGGAAGCAGTCCCCCTGCCCAGAAAGCCACCTTCAGGCATATTGACTTTATGCTGAGGGTAGAGGGAAGCACTGAAGTGAACTGGAAAGACAGATCTTCAAATTTATGTTTTAGAAGGCTAGAAAGAGGGGCTGTATGGGGCATGCTTTCTTTGGAAACTAGCTGGAGACAGATCAGTCAGGAGGCAGATGGTGGGGGCCTGTGGAATGAGCTAATGGCCATGGGAATAGACCGGAGGCAGACTGGTCCCTGAGGAGAGGACAGTGGTGATGGTCCTGAGCTAGAGAGTACTGGAGGAAGGGAGGAGAGGTGCGTTAGGCCAATTTTAGTTTTAAGAAAACCAAAATATAGTGTTTAAGAGCTTGGCTCTTTCAACCTCTCTATGCCTCAGTTTCCTCATCTGCAAAATAAAGGTAATAATAAAAGTATCCACCTCCTATTGTTGCTGGGAAGGTTGAGTTAGTCAATGTGAAATGCTTAGAAGAGTGTGTAAGAGCTTTAATTATTGGCTCTTATCATTACCATGCTGTGAGGATTATTGTGTTAGATAAGAGGGGCCTGAAGGGCTTCCAAGAGGAGATGTCCTGGAGGCAGTTGGATATGTGGGGCAGATCTCAGGAGACAAGTCTGGGCTGGAGATGAGTTTTAAAACCTTCAGCAGAGGTGCTGGATGAGATCCTGGTAGGAGTGTGAAGAGGGAAGAGAAAAATGGAGCTGGAGTAGGTCCCAGGGAAATGCCAATGTTGGCAGCAGAGCAGAAGCCCATGAAGATTGAGAAGGGAGGGGTTCTCAAAGAGGGAGAAGGAAACCCAGGAGAGAGAAGGGCCTTGTGGAAGGCAGCCTAGAGAGCCTGGAGAGAGTGTAAACAATGTCACAGGCTGCCAGACATCAAATGAGGTAAGAAACGAAGAAGGCCTAGGATCTGGCAACAGAGGCTGGCAGTGACCCTAGCGTGGGCCATGCCAGGATAGTGGGGGAGGGGCTGGGGCTGAGGAATGTGGGCAGCAGTATCACCTGGAGGTAGGCAGCCCTGAAGAGACCTCAGACACAATATGGCTGGAGAAAGGCCCTGAAATTCTCCCGAGATGAAGAAAATTTGAGAGAGAGAAGAGAGGGTGGGGTGTTCAATTCCAAGAAGGAAATGATGACAAAAAATCCCAATAAGGAGAAAGAAGAAGTGGCTAGACTCTAAAGAAGATAAAAGATGAGCTGAAAGTGACTCAAGCCAGAAGAAGTCTAGGAAACTCAAGGCTAGTCTTACAGACAAGGCGAGTACCAGAGAGGGCCCCAGCCCTCAAAGGTGCCTTGAATCCCCTAGCCTTTCCATGGCTCCCTTTCCTCAGGCTTGGGTTCCACCCTTGGTGGGTGAGGGTGGACAAGACAAGAATGCTGGATGAATAAGACTCCATCTCTTCTTTCAAGCTGCCTGACGCACTTCCATAACACTTCAGAGAAAAGCCAAGGTAAGACACCTCACCTTTGGCAAGGATAACTTAGATCATAAAAGTGTAGACCAAGATGTATCCTTAGTTCAACCCACTCATTTTACAGATAAGGGAAGTGAGGCTCCAGCCGGGGACCTTAGGGTGTCTAAAACTCACAGCCCCATGTCAATGAATCATGGCTGTGACATTTCCAGAAAAAGGATGGCAGCTGAAGGGGATGATATAAGCAAGGAAAGGGTGGACACCCAAGTTACCCATCTCCTCAGCCCAGTTGGCCATGAGTCAGTCACGTCCAGCTCTGTCCATCTGGCACCCCTAGTGCTCAGAGCCCAGGCTGAGCTTGTGGGAAGAGATCAACGGCAGAGGGAAGATCTGGGGAAATTTGGAGAGGAGCCAGCCTTTACCACTGCCAGCATTCCTGACTCAATAAGTTTCTGCTCTGTCCCTGAGCTTAGAGGTACTGACTGAAGAAGATTCTGGCAGGGTGGTGGGGCAGGAGGAACTGCATCTGATCTGCCATACATTGGAGGTGGGGGCGGAGGGTGGAGAAACCAGGACAGAAGGTGCTTTAATTCAGGTCTGATTTGCCTGAGCTAAGTGGAAGTAAATAATTTGGGGTCTGTCTCCTGGGTTGCTTCTTTTCCACGAGAAGAAGAGAACAGAAATCTGGTGGGCAGAAACTCTCAGATTTCTCAGTCCATTTCCACACCCTCCGCCCCCGCTCACCCATGGGGCCTGAATAAACTTCCCCTAAAGTTTCTGCCCTTCCTCTTGCTACATGCAATCTGTCTCACTTCTCTGTCTTTGAAGGACAATTCCCTACTCCACCCTCAAAATTTCTCAAAACAGAATGTATTTTAATTCTACACACATGCAGAGGTACTCAGGCAGAGGCTCCCCTCCAAATCATCTGGTTCTCCCTGCACACCTGGATCCCTGGGCATGGACTTCTGGTGTGATGGATCATTTGGGAATCCTGGAGGGTTTTAGCCAATGGTTGAGAAGCTTGGGACATGGAAATGTTGACTTAGAAAGTAAATTGGGAGCCCGGCCCAGTGGCGCAAGTGGTTAAGTGCGCGCACTCCGCTGCGGCAGCCTGGGGCTTGCCGGTTCAGATCCTGGGCGCACACCGATGCACCGCTTGGCAAGCCATGCTATGACGGCGTCCCATATAAAGTGGAGGAAGATGGGCACGGATGGTAGCCCAGGGCCAGTCTTCCTCAGCAAAAAAAAAAGAGGAGGATTGACAGATGTTAGCACAGGGTGATGTTCCTTACAAAAAAAAAAAAAACAGAAAGTAAATTGGCCAGTTGTTTTACCTGCAAAAGAAGTTTATTTGGGAATAGCCATGAGAATTGCAATTCACGATAAGCAGGGTATGGCTGACCATAGGCAAATCCAAAGAAACAAAGGAAGGGGCTTGCTTTTATAGAGGAAAAGGGGGAGTAAGGAGGGGCTGTAATAAACAAAGAGCCTTTGGAGGAAACTGGGAGCCCAAATGTTAAGATTTCTCATTGGTTGGGTTGCTACAGTCTCTCATTGGCTGGGCTGTTGCCAGGTGGGAAGAGAAATCTTCCTTCCTTCTGCTGTATAGTAAAGTAGTAAACACCTTCCTGTCGGAGATGTAAGCTTCCATCTTTTCCTCCTTGGAATAATTGAGGACGTATGACAAGGCGTGAAAGCTCCCCCTACAGACCTTCCATTGGTCGAGCTTTCATTCATTAATTCACAGAAAGGAGAAGCAAGCACAGGGTAACAACCTCTTGATGACAGAACAAAGGAGCTGTGGCAATACTAACATTAAAATCACTGTGCACTTTGTGTCTATTAGCTCAATGAATCCTCACAACAGCCCTATGAGGAGGGGGCTGCTGTTATCCGCATTTTACAGATGCAGAATTGAGACACAGAAAAGTTGAGTCATTTGCCTCAGGCTGCCCAGCTAGTACAAAGTGAGCACAAGTTTCAAGGCACTGGAGTCTTTTTTTTTTTTTTTTGGTGAGGAAGATTAGCCCTGAGCTAACATCCAATGCCAATCCTCCTCTTTTTGCTGAGGAAAATTGGCCCTGGGCTAACATCTGTGCCCATCTTCCTCTACTTTGTATGGGACGCCGCCCCAGCATTGCTTGACAAGCGGCCCGCCCGCGATCCGAATCTGTGAACCCTGGGCCACTGAAGCGGAGCTCGCGAACTCAACTGCTGCGCCACCAGGCCGGCCACGGCACTGGAGTCTTAATCGCACTGCTAATGATCTTACTTCCTCCTCTCTACTCCACCTGCTGCCTGGGCAGCATTTGTTCATTCAACCATTCATCCCACATAGGAGCTGCTCACATGACCCAGGCTGTGGGCAGTCTGCTGGGAAAGCAAGACAAGCAAGAAAGGGTGTGAGTGCTCCAGGAGATCATACCCTACAAGGGAGACTATTCTGATGCATTCGAATCCGAAGTTTTACTAGACAGCACGGTGACCCAAGTGACCTGAGTGACCCAAGGGAGGAAGTGATTAGCTCTGCTTTGGTGAGTCTCAGAAGAAGATGGTTGGAGCAAAAACATGGAATGCCTTGATGTGCCAGGGACTGGGGTAGGGACTATAGACTTCTTCAATCTAGGGCCTATGTCCTTCTAACCCCCTTATCCCCAGCACTCAGCACAACACCTGACACATAGGAAGCACCCAATCAATACTCGGTGAAGGAAAGAAGCTAAAGAATGGCAGAGCTAATCCCAGGCACGAGCACGAGTCTTTTTGTACAGAAGATCCAATAGTTCCAATCTCAGTCACTGTTGCAGCTCAGTTATGGGCCTGGGAAAGAGCACTTGCTGCTGTTTGTTGCTGCAGTTGTTAAAAGCTGAGGGCACGGGGAGAGTTAATAATCAGCCTTCCTTGGTGAAGAATAAAAGGTGACACCCTCTCGATGAGAGTCCACTGAGAGCAGTTACTCATTTCTCCTTGTCTCTCCAAGGATGCACATTAGACCTGCAGTAGACACAACCAGGGGCGTACACGTCTGTTGGGTGTATGGATGGACGGATGGTGGGAGGGTAGATGAGTTCGTGTATGGACAGGTGAGCGGGTGGATGGATGGGTGGGTGAAGGGGAGGCTGCACAGACTTGAAGTCAATGGACCAAGTGCTCAGCCCAGATCACCCTGAGGCCTGCTCAATAGTTGCATAAATCAGACAGCTGCCTCAGAACATGGCAGAAGCAGTCTTTCTAGGAGGCAAACTAACTTGAATTGGGGCAAATTTAGGATAAAACAGGGATTTGTTTAGGTTGAATAGAAAGCCACAGGAGATAAGAAGAGGAAAGCAGAGGGACATCAGGATGCACAGTGAACATGTATCTGGTGGGTAAGGAAAATGAGGCAACGAGTGAAGGGAAGAGGACGAAAGCAGCACCAGCTGGCTCATGTACATCCATTGACAAAACTTCTGAGAGAGCTAAAGGTTTGTGATTTAGCCAAGTGATTTAGCCAGAATAAGAACATAGTACTTATTTTTATTTATTTATTTATTTTTTGGTGAGGAAGATTAGCCCTGAGCTAACATCCGATGCCAATCCTCCTCTTTTTTGCCGAGGAAGATTGGCCCTGAGCTAACATCTGTGCCCATCTTCCTCTACTTTACATGGGACACTGCCACAGCATGGCGTGACAAGCGGTGAGTCGGTGCACGCCCAGAATGAGAACCCACAAACCCCGGGCCACCGAAGCGGAGCGTGAGCACTTAACCGCTTGCGCCACCGGGCCAGCCCCCATAGTACTTAATTTGTACTTAAATTCTGTAAAATAGAGACAGAGGAGAAGAGGGGAAGTGAAGACCAGTGACTGGGAAATAGGGAAAGAGAGCAGAAACAAGGTGGTCAGAGTCAGGGGTAGTGAGTCTGAAGTGTTAGTGACGGGCCTTATCTCCTTCTGGGTTTCTCTCGGAGAGAACACTCATGCTTTCCATCTGAAGACTCCACAGTGCTGCCCTCAGTTCCCAGGTGCCCACAGAAGTGAGTGGACAGATCTGGGCTGGAGCCCAAGCTGTGGGAAGACTGCTTGATCTTGGGCAAGTCACCATAACCTCACTGATCATCAGTATCCTCTTCTGCAAAATGGGAACAACAATATCCACCTCACTGGGCAGGTGTGAAGAATTTCATGAGAACTGGATTGGCCTTAAGGATAGGACTTATCCAGCCCTGACTGCACTAGAGTCTAGCTCAAAAAAAAAAAAACCATGAACAACGGGCCGATTCCACCTGAACCGTGGCATGTAGGCCAAGACGCCCTTAAACCTAAGAAGACTGCAGCTTTCCGCCTCCTCCTCTCTCAGTTTGTAATTCAAAATAAACACAATTCTAAATTTTAAAAGTAAGTGCAAGAAAGGTCTTCACAGGGCTGGTTTTCCTTCCAATGATTACTTCGATATTCCTTTTCAAAAAAATTTTCCCTCCTTTTGTTGATGCCTCGACTTTGACGGTGCCTTAAGCACAGGGTGACTGCGGGTTCTGGTTTCCAACTGTTGTCCCGAATAAGTATTACCAGCGCCCCTTTCATTCTCCAAAGCTGCCCTGCCTAAGCATACAGTGAGCTGGGGGAGGCAGCCTGTTTAAGCAACGTGGGGAAAAAGCTGAAAGCTGTCATAGGCTTCTTGACCAGGGACTGCCGAGGTCCCCAGAAGGTCACCCCTCTCTCCCCACATACATATACCCACTTCCCCTTTCCAAGTTTGTACAAGATTTAGCATTCGTAAAAAGCTGTCAGCTCCCTTAAAAAATGGAAAAAGATAAATACGTTTCTGAAAACGCAGAGGGGGTAAGTTCTCTTGCGGCTACTGCAAGACAAGCATCAGTCAATCGTTCCTTAGTAAGTATCCAGTGAGCGACTCCTCAGTGCCAGGCTTTGTAGCCAGGGAAGGGACACAAATAACTCGACCTTGTTTTCAGATAGCGATAAGGGTCATAGAGAAAACGAAACCACACACGGGCCAGAGAGTTCTTTATAATGGCAATTGCCTTGGGTCTGGTTTCCTAGACAGACTCTGAGGGGGGAATTTGGGTGCTGGCGGTTTGTCGAAGGAGGGTCTTAGGAGAAGGGGATGAGGGAAGCAGGATGGAGCAGGGAGAGAAGCCAAATGATGAGACTGGCATCTAGCTTCAGCCTGATCCCAGGGGGTGCTCTGCGGCAGGAATTGCCCCACAGAACAGGTCCCCCCCTAAGGCCGGGGTCTGGTCCTTGGCACTTGCTGCATCTGTCGGTCGTTGGCCGCTGGCTGCTCCTCCACCCTCTCCCAAACCCAGGGACAGAGGCCGCTCCTGTTCAGCCGAGGACGATTCTCCAGAGAAGGGGGCAGTTGTGAGCCTTTAGCAGCCAACACAGCAACTGCGAAATTGGTGTTAACCCAGTAGAGGGATCTCGGAGGGGCAGAGACAGCATCTAGCGACTATAGAATGGTTTCATCTTTTTTTTTTTGGAGGGGGCGGGAGTGAGGAAGACTGGCCCTGAGCTAACATCCGTGCCCGTCTTCCTCTACTTTATATGGGACGCCACCACAGCATGGCTTGACAAGCAGTGCATTGGTGCGCGCCTGGGATCCGAACCTGTGAACGCCAGGCCTCCCATGCAGAGCGTGCACACTTAACCGCTACAACACCAGGCCGGCCCCAAGGATGGTTTCATCCTAATCTCTTTTTAGGGCAAAATGAAGGAGCAAAAGGTTCCTAGGGAGGTGGGGTGGGAGCACAGAACAGCAGACATCCAGTGTCTCATGGAGAACGTGGGCCAAGAGGGGCTGTGCCTGGGAGGGGCTGGGCTGGAGATGACTGTGGGAATTAGGGAAAGGAGAATTCCAGACAGGAGGGGTAAGGCTGGGTCATGGCACTCAGCTTCTATATCTTAGCCTTGGCCTGATAGCAGAATTGTTCTTAACAGGCAAATGTATGTATGGAGAACCTGGCAATCAATGCATTCAATTCGTGTTTACTCAGAGGGATCTGGAACTTCAATGGGCAGCAGAGGATGGGGACAGATAAGGGGAACGATTTCAGCAATCATTTGTCAAAGTCTGTGCCAAAATGGGAATGCCCACAGAGAAACTGGAAAGAAAACAGCTGTATTTATTTTTTATCACAGTCGCTGGACCAGAGGATTGTGGAAATAAACGAAGACCAACCAAATGAGAACAGCAAAGTCTATTTATTCAGAGCCTGCTCTAGCAAGAAAGTCAGACACTATCACTTGCATCTGGACAGAAACTGAAAGGCAGGAAGAAGAGTGGATAAGTTTTACAGCAGAAAAAATGGAAAGATTCAGATGTGCCCTAACTGGAGACTGTAGGTATGGGAAAGCTAGGGGTGGGCTAACTAGAAGGAGAACATCCTGTGATTGGTTAGGAGAGCACATTTGGCTTTCTGTGGTTGGTCCTAAAATTAGGACAAGGACAAAAAATTAGGGAAGCTGTGAGTTATTAATCGAGTCCTGGTCATTTTGAGCCAATTATTACAGGGGCTCTTATTTGGCTTCCTGGACCATTTGCTAGAGATAGTAGCTGACCACCTACAAGTGTGACTCATAGAGAGCAGGCTGGTCTCCTGGTTAGTAAATGAGTTGGTTCCCTGGGCTGGTTGCTGCAGATTGGGGTCAGAGCTCTGTTTCTATATATGGTCTGCCCATTGTCCATTTACATATTCAGTCTCTCAGGATTTAGAAAATGTGCAGTAGTCACATATAGTCAGATACGATATAGTGCTGAAGAAACGTGTTGGGATGTAGGGAAACAGATTTTGGAGAGCTCTGTCTTCTGGTAGAGGGCGCAAAGATAACAGGAAATTGGGAAACCCAGCCTCTTCATTCATTCACTCGTTCATTTACTCAACACATACATTCATGTTCCCGATATCGTCCTCGGGGTTCCTGCCCTCCGGGAGTGGACAGTGTCCAGGGGAAAAAACACAGGTTACTGGGGCAGCGTATGAGAGGTGGAGCTTCTCTCAGCTAGGGACTCGGGAGGATCTGGAGGAACTAACACTCAAGCTAAGACAGAATCAGGCGAAGGAGGAGAGGAAGTGAGTTCTAGGTGGAGGGTACAGCATGGGCAAAGGCTGGGAAATGAAAGGGAATGTAGGGAACACAGATACATCCTGATCTGTCCTCGACAGGTCGTGTGTAGGCCTGACATCCCAGTGTAATTATTAATCACACTCCGTTTCACTTTCAAAAGGGTCCTGGTTGGTCACCCTAAATATGGTGCACTTGAGAAATACGAGGCGGAGACAGACGGGCAGGAGCAGAAGGTGAGCTGTAGAGGTAGGCAGGGGCCATATCACGCAGGGGCTCAAAGGTCACCTTAAACACGGCCCTGGCCTCAGGCAGGAGTGCTGTATGGAGTGAACCTGAGAGCCACATCCTGCCTAACAAGGTGGCTCAGCCTTGCTGTAGCCTCATGTTGCCCAACGCCCTCATTTTTCAAGAGAAACCATAGGTCTGGATTTCTCTCAGAAATCTCTCAATTTTAAAATGTCAGTAACTAATCAAAAACAAATAAATAAAACGATGTGGGCTAAATAAAACCTGAGGGCTGGATTTGGCCCAAGAATTGCCAGTTTGAAATCTCTTTTCTAAACTGTAAGTGGTTACGAGCTAAGGATTAAAAAAACAAAAAAGCCTGTGAGCTTTCTTTGGGAAAGGGCAATCCACACCATCAGGACACACATCTCTGGGTAATCTCTCAAGAGAGGGAGGGGAAATGCCTGCCTAGGAACTTTCTCCTGCATCTTTCTCATGCATCAGGGAAAACAGGTCAGTTAATTTCTCTATCAGGTCATTTTGTCACCAGGAAGGAAGAAATAGAGGGATAGACCCTCCCCTTGGTGCTCTCAGAGGTTGAAGATAAATCCTTGGAGATCAAACCAAGTGGGCTCATCAGGAAGGTCCCACAGATGGAGAAAGCATAACTAAAGCCCGTGACCATCCCAAGGATGGATAGAGGGGGACACTCCCAGGCCCTCCATTTTGGGTGCCAACCATATCATGAGTTGTGATAAGGAGGGCACTGAAATACTAGGAGTTGGGTAGAAGCACCATCAAGAAGCCTTCAGGCTTTACCACAAGGTTAGCTTCTTGGACCAAGTAGGAAAACAGAACCTTTGGGAAGGTAGTGGTATTAGTTACAACACAGGGGCAGTTACTGTATTGGAGGCTCAGAATACCAGTGTTTTAAACAAGATCAGTGTTCATTTTTCTCTTCTATAACAGTATGACAGTATGGAATCCAGGGCTAACGTGGTGGTTCCACAGAGTTAGAACTCAGGCTCCTTCTGTCTCACTCTGGCATTCTTGGGTGTTGCCCTCATCTGCAAGGTCCAAAATGGTGCACCATGACATTCACACTCCAGCTGGTGGAGAGATGGTAAGGATAAAGGGAAGACACTCCTTCTCTCAAAGGACCTGACTCCAAAGTAGTTCACTTACTCTACTCACATCTCATTAGCCAGAACCTAGCCACCTGGCCATCCCTAGCTGCAAAGGAAACTGGGAAATGTGCTCTTTAACTGGGGGGCTATATTAGTTATGCATTGCAGCATAATAAACCACTCCAAAACAAAGTGGATTGAAACATGAACAATTTATTATTTCTCAAAGTTCTGTGAAGTGACAATCTGGGCAGTTCTGTTGGATTTGCCTGTGGCTGCAGTCATCCGGTGGCTGGACTGGGCTGGAAGGTCCATGATGGCCTCATGCACGCAGCTGTGCTGCCTGTCAGCTGTGGGCCTAGTTGTCACCCCCACGTGGTTACTCGTTCTCCAGTAGGCTAGACAGGTCTCAGCATGGTGGTCTCAGGGTGCTGAGAAGGTGAGAGCAGAAGCTGCAGTGCTTCTTACAAGCTAGATTCTGGAACTCACGCAACATCAATTCTACCACATTCTGTTGGTCAAAGGAAGCCACAAAACCAGCCCAGACGCCAGGGGGTGGAGTGATGCGCCCCATCACTAGACGAGAGGAGCAGCAATGTCACATTGCAAAGGAGTGGGACTTCATTGGGGGTCATAGTTATAACAATCTTTCATAGTGGCCCAGATAAGAACCATATTACTAAATATGCAAAGGAGGGAGGAGACTGAAGGAATTTATTCTGAAGCAAGGGACCCCACAAAGTGAAAACAAGGGCAGATCTTCCTAGGTCTGGCTGCTTATCACCAGAGATTTATGGCCCTGTTTATTAGTAACTTTGTGGTCATGCTAGGGTAATTTGTCACTAGAAATGATTTACTTTCTAACCCATCATAAAGCTCCTATCTGGCTGAATTCTACACAAGCTCCCAATTTAAAACTGCTGATGTGGACTCTGAGCTCATAGGACCTTAACTGCCCATTCAGGGACAGATGCCTGCAGATACAGAGGCCCCCTCCTTTCCTGGGTCAATTAAGAACTTCTAGAGATATTGAGGTCTTTTGTCTTTGAACCCAAGGAAGAAGAAAACCATTTTTAACCCATTTTAAAGTCAGGAGAGGAAATTGTGTAGAACCATCTAAAGGTGACATGTGTTGTGGCACCCCCAAGGATACAAAGGGCCATTGTCTCATTAGTCACCCTTTGATGACATCTTATTGCACTGTGAATAAAACTGAAACTCCTCACTCTGGGTAAGCTCCTGCCCAGGCTTCTAGCCTCACCTGTGCTGCCCTCTGACTGGAAAACTCCTGCCCCTACTTGAGTCAGGTGTCGCCTCCCCTGGGGACCCTTCCCTCACCTTCCCAAGCAGGATAAGTTCTCTCTCCTTCCTATCACATCTGGAACATATGTCCCTCTAAGTCATAATTTTCTTGTATTTCAGTGAACCGCATGACATTGCCATTTTTGTCAACAAATGTGTCAGCAATTTCATATGGTTCACCAAATATTATAACAGCTAAGTAACAGGCTCTGTCTCCCCACACCTCCCTCAGGCCTGCTGCAGGGCCATTCCTCTGAGGCCATCAGGACAGTAAAAGAGAAAAGCTTTGGAGCCAGAAAGAGCTGGGTTTGAATTCCAGCTCCACTCCCTTCTCAGCTGTATGACGTCAGGCATTCGGTATGATCTCTCTAAGCCCCAGTTTCCTCATAAGTGACATTCAGATACTATAAACAGCAAGTGGTGCCCACTTGGCAGACTGGTGTGAGAATTAGATAGGATGCATGCTAAAGCCAGAGTAGTGGTTACTGCATTGGCAAAAGTATGGGAGATGGGCACTGGGGGTACCCCCTTGAGAAGTGAGGGCTACCTAGATGCAGTTATCAAAACTTGACCTGCACACACCCTTGGTAGCAAGTGCTGTTGGTGCCCTGCCTGGATCCCTGTAGGCCTTGCCAGGGCTATACTCCCTGTCAGACTTCCTTGGCAGCACCTATATCCCTTTCTCTGGCCACCAGAGCCCACTGCCCACATTCAGGGCTGGCCAGAAGTGCCAGGGAATTAATACCACCCCCACTCCCTCCCAAGAACAGCCCTCAGCCAATAACTACGTGGAATTGGTATATACATACTCCAGCTCCTTCTCTCCTCAGGCAGGACAATGCCGAGGTGTGCATTCTACTCTGTCTCCCAGAACTCCCCATGGGGTTATGGTCCAGGGGCTCACCATGGTACCTCTGTTGATAACACACCCTTGAGCACATGGCTGCCTTCCCTTCCCCAGCTCACATCCCTCCCCATTGGTATTTCCTGGGGCCACTCTTAAATAAATTTTCACTCAAATTCTTATCTTGGCTTTGCTTCTAGGAGAACCTAAACTTCTGGGAATATATCCTATAAATTATTCTTACACATATGCAAAAATGATATATATTCAGTTTATTAATTCACCATTATTTGTAATTGTGAGAGGTTGGAAATAATATATCGAAAGGAGACTGGTTAAATGCATTATAATCCACCCACATGATGGAATACTATGCAGCTGTATAAAAGAATGAAAAAGTATTTTGAGTCTTGATATGTAACAATGTCTGAGCTATATTAATGAAAAAGCAAGAGGCAGAACAGTATAAATGACATATGCTACCGTTTGTGTAAAAAAGCTTGTGTGTGTGTGTGTGTGTGTGTGACCCAAAAACACATAATCTTGACTGTCCTTTAGGAGGGACTTGAATGGCCGGGGGGACCAGGATGGAAGGGAGACTTTTCACCACACACCCCTGCACATCTTTGATTTTTGTACTGTGATAGTTTTATCCATTCAAAAAATAAGAGTAACATTAAAATAGTAAATAAATGGATAAAGGGAGGTGCATCATTGCTCATTGGACGTATTTAGCTCTAGTGTGGAATGAGTTGGACAGGCCCCTCTTGGCTGACCAGATCCTGGTTCCATCACGGCTTCTCCATGTGGTCTCAGTCCCAGCTGCACAGGCTGCTGCAGGTCTGCGTGCTCACTCACAATAGGAGGTCTCACTTCCTCCAGCAGGGAGAGGATCTGTTGCATCTCCCTTTCTGTTCACCCACAAGAGCTGCCATCACCTCTGTCCCAGAGGAAGGCCCAACGGCACCTTCACCCACACACAAAGAAGCCCAAGCAATTCCCTTCCGCCTGAGAGGTTGTGCTGAATGCACCTGTCCCCATGCAAGAGACATCTGAGTCACACACACAACTCACACAAACACTCATGCACACACTTGCACACACACACGAATGGAAACCCAAGCAGGTCTTTCCTGAGTGAGACATCACCGCCCCCCTCTCCTAATGGATGTGTCTGTCCAGCAGTCTGGGGACCTGCTGTTGGTCTAACCAAAGTCTTGCCTGCTGCAGGAGAGGCCACTCAGTGGGGAAGGAGCCGTTACTGGGATGGCGAAGCTTCACTCATCATGTCCTTGTACTGCCGTTTGAAGAAGCCAAGCTGTAGGGGCAGAGACAGAGGAGTAAGGGCCACCGAAGCTGATGGGTGGGGGGGTGGCATGCAGACAAGGAGCGGAGGCAGAGGGACCAAGAGGTGCAAAGAGTAATGCGGCAGAGTGTAGAAGAGACCTGGGAAAAGTGGGGCATGGAGGGAGATGGCATCGATATTGGGATGGAAAAAAAGGGAGGAAAAAAATATAAGAAGAAGAAGAACTACTCCTTATATGGTGGTCACTCTGTACCAGGGACCATTCTCAGTGCTCTATATATATTAACCCAATTACCCTCACAAAATAGTTACAGTCATGCATCGCTTAACGACGGGGATACGTTCTGACAAATGCATCGTTGGGCGATTTCATTGTGTGAACACCACAGAGTGTGCTTACACAAACCTAGATGGTATAGCCTACTACACACCTAGGCTATATGGTACCAATCTTATGCGACCACCATCATATATGTGGCCCATCACTGACCAAAACATTGTGTGGGGCACATGACTGTATTTATATTTTCATTTTACGGCTGAAGAAATTGAAGCTCTGCGACTTGCCCAAGGTCACACAGCTGGCAGCACCGCTGGGAGTCAAACCCAGTAATGAGCAGCGGAGTGAGAAGCAGTGCGGGGGGATGGGGGCGGGCAGGAGGAAGGCCACGGGGAGTACCTTGTACAATCCGGCAGTGATGAGGGCCAGGAGCACCAGCCCCCCCACCGAGCTGCCCACGATAAGCGGTAGAGGGTCATGCACTTCATACGGCTCCACTTTCGTCTCCGTCTGGCGTGGGGGCGAGGGGCGTCAGGGGACATAGACTTTGGATTTCTGGGGGTTCCCCAGTCAGACCTTGTGCACTCCCTGAACCCAATGACTAATCCCTCCCTATGTCCCTAACCTCAGCCCTCACCCCTCCTCCCCACCCCTCTCTCTCTAACTCTTTGCCCAGAGATCTCCACAAGCCCAGCCTCCCCTCCTCCCTCCAATAGTCCCTCTGTGTCTGAGACAAATACCTGAGCCCTCACAAATTCCTCCTGTCCTGGAAGCAGGGCAAATATCAAATCATTAAACAAGATCTCCACTGTGCTCACAACCTGAAGGTAGTTATGCGAAGTCTGTGGGAGAGAGAGGATGGGAGCTGGACCCGTGGGCCCTCGGAAGTATCATGTCTGTGTCTGGCTGAGCTTAGGACCCCATGTACCTTGATATACCAGTCAAACGAGAGGTTGCCTTTGATGGCGATGTTGAATTCTTGCTGGATGCCAAAGGACGGGATGTCACACTGGATTCTCTGGCAGACAGCAATGGAGCAGTTCTGGGGAAGGGAGGAGAGGAGAGAGATGACTAAGAAAGCTGGATGCAGAAAACACCTCGTGTACTCAGCCCACTCGGTTGAAAGACAGTATTGGGCACCAACAAGGGGACAGCACTGAGTCTTCGTGTGGCCCGGAGGCTAGGGTTAGGCTTATTCTCACCAGCACTGGGGTCTTCTTAAGCTCTGCCAGGAAGTCAGAGACAGGAGGTTCCCTCACCTCGGTGTGGCACGTACTGGAAAGGTTCTGAGGAAAGAGTTTCATGGTGATAAGAGAGAGAAATGAGGGTTCCTGGGTCCACCCTCAAGGAGGGCAAGATGGCCTAGGTCCAGGAGAGGTCAGATATGGCTCCAAAATCCAGCAGAGGAAACAGAGATTTTAGGAAAGCCAGGGCTGTGGAAGGAGGAGGGGGGCCCACTCCTCAGGCCCAGCTTGGCTTACCTGAGAGAAGGTAAGCTGGGGGTGGTCCCACACGGCCACCTGGTTCAGCTGGATGGGGACCCAGATGACCACACTGATGGGGGGGCTCCTCTGCCCCAAGTTTTTGAACTGCACAGTGGAGGGAGGGAGGGCGGCTATCAGGGCTCTGGCCTTTCTGCTCCCACCAGCAACTAGAGTCAGCCTGCCCACTCACAACAGCCCAGTACCACTGAGAAGGCCTCACAGACCCAAGCATCCCCCTCTTGATGTTTTGTGGGAGGCAGTAGAGTGTAGCAGTTAAACACACGTTCAAGAGCCAGACAGGCCCATCCTAAGTAGTGGCTCCTCCACTTAGTAGCGTTGAAACTGTGGGCATGTTCTGCTAACCTCTCCAAAGCCGTTTCTTCATCTGAAAACTGGGGGTAAAGATAGTGCCTCCATCACAGAGTCATTATGAAGGTAATATGAGTTAATTATGTACATGTGTGTACACACATACATAAGTATGTGCGTGCTTGCTGTATAGGCAGTGAGAGCAAGCTTGGAACAGAGCCTGGCACATAGGAGGCACCTGATGCATGTTTCCCGTCATTATTTCTGCTTTCCCATCCTCTGGATATCGCCCCCCACCCGCCCCGTCCACCTTCTCAGCTCCCCACCTGATACTCATGGTTTATAATGCGGCTGATGTCCTTTGAGGCTGTGAAGTTGAGATATTTGGTAGAGACCTCACGGCTGATGAGAGAAAGAAGAAGGGGCAGGAGGTGACAGGACATCAGGGGTGTCCTGGGAGGGGGTCTTGGGCTAAGCGTGTAAGGGGTGAATGGGCACATGGGTAACGCAGCCCTGAGAAGGTGCAAGCAGGAGAGGGGCCATGTGTGTCAGATACACTGTGTGCATTTGGGCCACACACACACACGCACATACCCTCAGACACACACACAGGCACACATGTGCACAGACGCACACACACAGGCACACAACGGGCCATGTCCAACCCAGTGGTGAAGGCAGAGCTAAAGCCCTGGAAACCGGCACCTGGTGACCACCATGGAGACAGCGTATTTCACAGGCAGCTCCAGCTGGAATTCAGTTTTGTTGGTCCTGGGCATGTTGTTCTCACTGAAGGGAAACAGAGAGCTAGGGCCAGCTCTTCAGAACCGAGAGTCAGACTTTCCTTCTCCCTCTCCCTCACCCCCCACCTCCAACCAAACGCCAAGCCCTGTCCTCTCTGCACCCTAAACACCACTGGTCTCTCCCTCCTCCCCTACCAGCCCAGGCCCATCCCTACTCACCTGGATGTCTGCAGCACTTCTCTCCGGTCCCTGAATTCAAAACTACTCCCACCCCAATCCCCAGTCCTCCTGGAGAGTGATCTTTCTAGCATGTCATTGTGATCACTCCCAGATTAAACTGGAAATTTCCTGATAGCACCCATCAGTCATTTGATGACACAGCCCATATCTAACCAGCTCCCTAAATCCTGTAACATGTGCTTAGACCACAGTGAAACATAGCCTTGATCTTCCAGTCTCCAGGCTTTGCTTGGTACACACTTACTTCTTTCTGTCCTCATGCCCACCCTCAATTCAAGCCTTTGCTTGGCTAACTCACAGCCTAAATACATCTTCTTCAGGAATCTTCTCTGAACACCAAGCTCCCAAGAACACTGGACGTAGCTAATTTCTGACTCTATTGTAGTCGCCAGCTTTCCCATCTGTCTTTGCCACTAAATTATAACCTCTGTGAGGGCAGGAACCACAGCTGTCTTGTCCATCGCTGTCCCACCAGCACTGAGCACAATGCCTCGCACATGGTGCATGCTCAGTCAGTGTTTGTTGAATGAATGAATGAGCTGAAGGGACAACCAGTGGGGAGAGGGCAATAGTCCACCCAGGGCAGGGGGTTGGGGCCTCAAAGGGGAGGATGCCTGTGGGAGGCCAGGCACAGCGCACCTGGTCACACTGGCCTTGAGGAGTAGTCTGTTTCCAAGAGATGCAGTAGAGTTCACATCAAATGTGATATTAAAGGTGACCTGGAGAGGGAGAAAGGACAAGAACAGGAGAGAAGAAACCACCAAAATGTCCATCAACTGAAGAATGGGTATTAAAATGCTGAGCACCATACAACAGAATATCATTCAGGACTAAAAAGGAATGAAGTACTAACACGTGCTGCAGCATGGACGATCCTTGAAACCATTGTGCTAAGTGAAAGAGTCACAAAGGACCACATACTGTATGATTCCATTTATATGAAATGTCCAGAATGGGCGAATATAGAGACAGAAAGTTGTTACCTAGGGCTGGGAGAGATGGGAGGACTGGGGCTGATGGCTAAGGGGAGCAGGGTCTTTTCTTGGGGTAATAAATTGTTCTAAAATTGATCGTGGTGATGGATGCACAACCCTGTGAACATACTAAAAGCCATTCAATTGTACACTTTCAATGCGTGAATTGTGTGGTACCTGAATTATATCTCAACAACGCTGTTTTTCAAAGGAACCTTACTTTGAAAAAAGAGGAAGAGAAGAATTCAGGAGAAGACAAAGGAGAGGAGGTGAGGAGGAGCAGCAGCCTGACCTCAGAGTTGTCTGGGATGATGGGGTGGTTTATGTTGCAGCTGCAGTTCTTCAAGGCCCCAGGCTCTTCGGTGGAGGTAGAGTCACAGTTCAGGCACGAGGATCGCTGTGAGAGCTGGTTGTGGAAAAGAAGGGAGGCAGAGGTGGTGATGTCAACACCAGCCATGGGGACGGGGAAAGTAAAGTCAAACAGAGCCTGAGAAGCATCTGGCTACCTGGATCCCTGACATCTTCCGATAGGACAAGCCAGACGGGTAGAAGAAGGTGACCTGAGTCCTGTAGGAGTCCTCACCCTGGTTTTTCACAGTCACTGTCACATTGAATTCCCGGGGACCACCCACCACCAGGGTGTTCAGGCTGTAGGGGGAACAAGACAGGTCATGAGGTGCTGAGGGCTCAGGTGGGAAGGAGGCGTGGACACCTAGACAGAGAAGACAATGGATGGGACAGCTACACAAACACCTCTGAAGCAGCCGTTCTGTGCCGGCTCCCTCAAGGGCCAGGAGAAGAACAGAGCACCGGGTCGTGGTGTGGGTTTGGAGGTAGCAAGGAGAAAAGAAACTCACCTCACAAAACTGAAGGTGATGCTGAGGTCATCCTGGCAGATCGTGTCATTGCCACAATGCTTCTCAAAGGGAAGCTGCAAAAAATAGAATATGATAAAATGAAAGGAAAGGAAATGCGAAATGAAACAAAATAAAATATTGAAATAAAATTATGTGAAAGGAAATAAAATGAGCTTCAACAATCTTGACCTCTGGTCCCTTCCACACCCCTGCAGGACCCCAACTCCAGGACTCACCGACGCTGTGAAGAATCTCTGAGCGTCCACAGCCAGCACTGGCCGGAGGTTCCCAAAAGAGGACAAGGGCTTCCCCACCAGAGAGAAGTTCAGGCGCAGGACGATGGGGGTCACTGGATCCTCTACACAATTCTGAGAGATAGTGGGGATTTGGGGGTCTGCCCTCCTCAGCTTCCCAAGCTTACCCCATGCTTGAAAGACCCAGGAATGTGGTCACTGTCTGCTCACCTCTATCTGTAGCTTCAGAGTCTCACATTTCTTATTCAGACCCAAGGTCTGTATCTGTCTGCGTGTGCTGTTCTTTGTTTCATCAAAGACGGCCCGGCGTTTTTGGCGACTTGGGTCCAGAGCCAGGTCGTATGTGACGATGCCCTGGATCTCTCCTGAAGTGGTAGGGCAGCATGGTGGTGAGGAGCCCCGCTTTGGAGTCAGACAGACAGGGGTTTGAGGCCCAGCTCCTCTGCTCCCCAGCCGTATAACTTTGGGCACATTATCTGACCTCTTTGAGTCTCAGTTCCTTGTTTTTAAGTTGAAGATAATAATTGTACCTTCCCAGTGGTGAAAATGAAATGAAATAGTGCCTATAAAGCATTTAGCACAGTGCCTGCCACATAGTAAGTGCTCAAGAACTAAATCGTAGCTATTCTGTTACCTACTAGAAAATTAAGTATATTTTTCCAGCTGCTTTTAGCTGTTTTCTCTCTGTGTCTGGTCTGCAGCAGCTTGTACCTTGGTACGGTGCAAAGTATACTGTTGTGTACATTGGTGTAATGTGCTGTGGTATGGTTTCCTTTATATTTATCCTGCTTTGATTTGGTGAAAAATCTTGATGTCTTTCATCAGTTTTGGAAAATTCTTTACCACTATTTATTTAACTGTTGCTTCTTTCTAATTCTCTCTCTCTTCCTTTTGGAATTCCAATTATGTGTTTATAGCTCTTTCACTATATCCCATATGTTTCTTATGATTTTTTTCTGTATCTTTCATCCTTTTTTCTCTCTGTGAGTTAATATGGATACTTTCAATTGACTTACTTTCCAGTTCACTAATTCTCTGTTCTGCTTCTAATCTGCTATTAAATCTATTTATTGAATTCTTAATTTCATTCAGTGTATTTTTCAGTGCTAGAGTTTCCATTTGACTCTGTTTTGTGAATTCTGGGTCTTTTCTGAAGTTCTCCATCATTTCCTCTTTTTTCTTAAAGATATTAATTATAGTTCTTTTTAAAATTCCTATCTGATAACTCTAATTTCTGAATCACCTGTGGGTCTATTTCTATTGTCTGTTGTTTCTTGGTTGCTGGTTCAATGGACATTGTCCCAGTGGAAAGACCAAAGTGTTTACCAAAACTCCTCTCAAATCTCTGTTTTCCCAGCACTGGGAAGTTGCTGAATTTCTGCTCAACTCTCATTCTCCAGTTGCTGTCTTCTACTGAGTTTCTTGGAGTTTTGATCTGGATATGCATCACTTAGGAGTCAGTCAATGACTTGAGAGGAATTTCTATGTAGATTTTGGGGCACCTTCTCTGCAATTCTCTACTCTCCAAGACTTTGCTTTCAATTTCTAGCCATGCTGGCTGCCCCAAACTCTGCTGTCTCCTCAGCCCAGTGAGATTACTGCTAGAAACCTAATTTTCCCCCTCACCCTGTTTCTCTCTAGTTCCACCACTACTATTCCCACACCCCAACCACAACGCCACTCTTTGAGAATAGAGACAAGAGAGGAAGTCAGGCTAGTTGTAATAAAATGCACGTATGAATGCTTCGTGAATTTGTGTTTAGCTTCATCAATTCAACCACCCCTTTAAATGAGTTATCTCTCAGTTTAAAAAAATCCTGGTTAGTTCACAGGTGTGGAGCCCTTGGTTCTCTGGAGAACTGAGAAAGTAAGGGAGTGCCACATGCTCACTTACTCAGTGGGCTCTGCTGGGCCTCCCCCGCCAGCAGGGGAATCTCCTGCTCACTTCAGCCACACTTGGAGAAGGCTGTCAGAGCTTGTGAGAACTTTGCTCTGGACTGCCAGAAGGCTGGGAAGACTGCGCTGGGCCACCCATCAACATCCCCAGTCATTTACTCTCTTGAGACTTACCCACCAAGCCTCACCTTCTCTCAGCCGGTCCCGTGTGCTCTTGTGGACACGGAGGCAGACTCTGACCTCCCCAGCAGTCTGATTTCTCACCACCTGATCACGACATTCAAACACATTACTTGCCACTTCCGTAGGTGTGAACTCCATGGTCGCCTCGACTGTGAGCACTGGCTGGGACCTATAGGGACACCAGAGAGCCATCAGGGGCCTTCAGATGGCAAAGCCACTCCTAAAAGGGAAGATATCTGGTGTGCTCCAAAAGAAGTTCTCACCTGAGCAGCAGCACACGCCCCTGGGCCCCTACAGCCAGGTCCACCAGTCCGTCCATTGTGAGGTCCTGGCCCCCACTCAATGACTGACCAAAATACTGGAGCTTAGGGACGAGCTGGGAGCCTGCAATCCGCTGAGGGTAGAAAAGAGGAGGGGAGAAAGGGAGTGGAAAAGAATAGGGAAGTGTGTAACTCAGTCACCCAGGGTGACCCAAGGAGAGGTTCTCTGGGCTCCACTCAAGTCTCATCTCCCACAGCTTCCCACAGAATTAGGGTAAATGTTCATCTTTAGACCATGGCCTTGAGATGAGACTCAAAGTTTCCATTCATTACCTGGGTTTTCCAGGGAAAACAAAAAGTTTTACACAGGGAAGAAGTGACACAGTGTACTATTTGTCTCTGCTGAATCTCATTTACATGATCAGGATAATGCAAACACTAAATATTGATCAAACCAAAATTATCATGTAAATATGAGGAGTGGGGGGTGAGGTATGTGAATATGTGGCAACAGGGATCTGAGAGAGAACTCAGTCCTCACCTCCCATGGTGGGAAGTCAACGCTAAAACAAAAATCAAGAAGCAGCAAAATAATCACGTCGTTGGGAAGTATGGAGAATCATTGAAAGAGCTGAAAGTGTATTCCTCAAGAGAAGGGAGAATGAAGAGGAAATCCAGTGTGGTATGGAAATTGTTGTTTTTCCTGACAAGCCTTTAAGAACTATTTTGACTCTTTAATCTATGTGCAAGAGTAACACTGAAAGAATAACAGCCAAATAATAAATTAAAGAGAAATTTTAAAAGTGATTTTGTCATGTACTTAACGCTACTGAAGTATACACTTAAAATTGGCTAAGATGGTAAATTTCATGTCATGTATATTTTACCACAATTTTTTTTGTGTGTGTGTGTGAGGAAGATCAGCCCTGAGCTAACATCCGTGCTAATCCTCCTCTTTTTGCTGAGGAAGACCGGCTCTGAGCTAACATCTATTGCCAATCGTCCTCCTTTTTTTTTCCCCAAAGCCCCAGTAGATAGTTGTATGTCATTGTTGGACATCCTTCTAGTTGCTGTATGTGGGACGCGGCCTCAGCATTGCCGGAGAAGCGGTGTGTCAGTGCGCCCCCGGGATCCGAACCCAGGCCCCCAGTAGCGGAGCGCACGCACTTAACCGCTAAGCCACAGGGCCGGCCTTACCACAATTTTTTTAAGTGATATTGTCAACTGAAAGGAAGGATGAGGAAGCATGGGGCACTGGAAATGTGCTGTATCTTAATCTAGGTGGTGTTTACTCAGGTTCACAGATATGTCAAACTTAATCACTTAAGATTTGTGTGTTTAGTGCATGTACATTATACCTCAATTTTTTTTCTTTTTTATTGTTGTCATAATAGTTTATAACATTGTGAAATTTCAGTTGTACATTATTATTTGTCAGTCACCGTATAAATGCCTCCCTTCACCTCTTGTGCCCACCTCCCAACCCCCTTCCCCCTGGTAACCACCCAACTGTTCTGTCTGTGTGATAGTTTATCTTCCACATATGAGTGAAATCATGTGGTGTTTGTCTTTCTCTGTCTGGCTTATTTCACTTAACATAATACCCTCCAATACCTCACATTTTTTTGAGAAAAATGTATTGTATTCTGTTGGGCGGAAGTTTTGTTTTGAAATTGTGTAGGATGTGGTAGCTGGGAGATCCACAGTTTGTTTGCTTGTCCAAACACTGTCACCCCGAGCCCCATCATAGGAAAAAACAAGCAAAAATTGCAAACAGTAGAACAATAGGATAGCATGATCCTTTTTGCATTTGTTTTTAATTCCAAAGTCTGTGGGGTGCGTGTGTGTGTGTGTGTGTGTGTGTGGACACCCTCAGTAGAGTGACCAACCATACGGATTTCCTGGGATGCAACTTTCAGCGCTAAAATCAGGGCAGATCTGGGCAAACCAGGAATATTGGTCACTCTACCAAGACTGAGATTTGGAAGAAAGAAAAGCCTAGATCCCAACACTTCCAGCTTGTCATTTACCACCTCTGAGCCTGTATATCTTCAGCTGTAAAGTGGGGGTGATGATGCCCCCATGTACCCCCTATAGGTGTGGTAAGAATTAATCTAGAATTGAGGATTCTTTGAGGTTTCTGTGAAGTGTGTGCAATTCTTTTTGAAGGTTCTAAAAAGGAGTACTGGGAAAATTGATCTGGCGGCTGTAGGAACCTTGAATTAGAAGGCAAAGATCAGTAAAGAGGCCACTGTTGTGATGGGGACAGTGACCAGGCCTCACCTGGCTGTGGGAGGGGCTGATGCCCCGTCGTGAGGTTCCGTGAAATAGATAGACGGCACCCTGGTTCTCCTGCTCTCCTGGGGCCCCAATGGCCACATCCATCAGCTTGTCCCCATTCACATCCCCCAGCACTGTCAGGGCTGCCCCAAAGCGGCCCCAGGGGTGGCCCTGCTCCCCACGGAGAACAGCCTCACACTGCCACTTACCCCTCTGCAGAACAAAAACAGTGTGAGGCCCCAACTCAGGCAAACCCTCCACCCCACACCCAGGCCCCACCCAGCCCAGGTCTCATCAGCCACTCACCCCCCGGGGCAAGGGGCACACAGACACTTGGCCCCCCCGGGTTTGCTCATAGAAATGGGGAGCCCCAATGAGGACCAGGTCGGAGTTGCCATCTCTGTCCACATCCACAGAGCACAGGGAGGCCCCGAAGTAGGAGCCGATCTGAAAGAGATGAGACCAAGATCACACACATCTTCCCACCTAACGCAGAGTGTAGGGGTTTTCTTCTTATGAAGAAAAACCATGCCTGCTGGGAAAGCCCTCTGAAGTGGGTGCAATACTCTATATGATTCATGATAAATTCTCATTTGAATGTGCCGCCAGCTAGAGGACCATATTATAGAGTTGATGGGCAGTGGGTGAGGATTTACCCCCAAACGGTGCTCCAGGGAGATGACTGAGACAGTGAAGAAGTTGGATTGGAAAATACAGACAGAAAAGCCTAGAAGAGCAGACAGGATACACTTTCAATATATTGGAAGTCTTTAGAGGGGTACAAAATCAAAGCTGACAGTCTGACTAATAAGGAATTAACAAGCTTAGATTAAAAATAATGATTGCTACAGAAATTTTCTTGTGTTATACTGAGAAAAAATGTCTACGTTTTAAAAGGATTTTTAAAGTATGTTCAATGTCAATATGTAGAATTCATCCACAGGATTCATCCATTTAATCATCCACTTATTCATTTATTCATTCGTTCAACAAACAAGGGCTTGCTATTCGCCGAGCAGGAGGCTGGGTAGTAGAGACATAGTGCCTTCCCGGGCTCTCAGCGTAGCAGGGTGGAGCGGAGGGGAATAGCAACAGATAAACAGGGAGATGTACGAAGCAGTCTCAAACTGGGGCAAGTTCTAGGAAGGAAAAGCGCAGGGGGCATCAAGACATGACTCACTGCAATCTGATTTCTGCCCCACACACCAGTGAGGGAGGCCTCACTGACAGCCCAATGAAGGCATTTAAACTTCATCCTAAAGTCAACAGGATTTTTTTGTTTTTAGGTCAAGTTTATTGGGGTATAATTTACACACAATAAATTTCAGCCTTTTTAGTGTACAGTTTCATGAGTTTTGACAAACACGTGAGCTCATGTAACCACCACCACAACCATAATATCAAACACCCAAATTATCCTCTCCTGCCCCACTGTGGTCAACCTCTCCCCTCAATCACCAGCACCTGACAACCACTGATCTGTTTTCTATCCCTATAGTTTTGCCTTTTCCAGAATGTTACATAAATGGACTTATATAGTATGTAGCCTTTCAGATACCTAGAATAACAAATCTAAGATTCACCCATGTTGTTGCACGTATCAGTTATCCACTCCTTTTATTTCTGATTAGTCTTCCATTGTATGGATATACCACAGTTTGTTTATCCATTCCCCAATTGAGGGACGTTGGGTTGTTTCCAGCTTTGGGCAATTATGAATAGAGCCATTAGAAACATTCACATACAAGTTTTCATGCAAACATCTGTTTTCATTTCTCCTAGGTAAATACCTAGGAGTGGGATTGCTGGTATGGTAACTGCATGTTAAACTTTTAAGATATTGACAAACCTGTCCAAAGTAGGCATGCCACTTTCCATTCCTACAGCAATGAATGTGAGTTTTAGCTGTTACCCCCCTTGCCAGTTCTTGATATTGTCAGTTTATTTCTTGTTTATGTTAACCATCCTAATAGGTGTGTAGTACTATCTCATCACGGTTTTAATTTGCATTTCCCTAATGATTGACATGGAACATGTTTTCCTGGGCTTATTTGCCATCCACACATCTTCTTTGGTGAAGTGTCTGTTCAAATATTTTGCTTATTTTTTAATCAGATTGTTTGATTTCTTATTGTTGAGTTTTGAGAGTCCTTTATATATTCTGGATATATGTCCTTAGTCAGACATGTAACTAAAAATAAGGAAAATTTGCAAATATTTTCTCCCACTCTGCAACTCATCTTTTCATTCTCTTGATAGTGTCTTTCACAGACCAAAACTTTCCATTTTGATGAAGTCTTATTTATAAATTTTTCCTTTATAGACCATGGTACAAAATATGGGTAGAGATTTTTGTTTTGTTTTGTTTACCATGGATGTCCAATTGTTCCAGCACCATTGAACTTTCTATTGAATTGTCTTCATGACTTTAGTGAAGATCAATTGACTATGTGTCAGTCCATCTCAGGCCTATTCTGTTCCACTGATCTTCATGTCTATCCTTTTGCCAACGCCTTACTGTCCTGATTACTGTAACTTTATAGTAAGTCTGGAAATCAGGCAGTGAGTGTATGAATCCTCCACTAAATACCTAATGGTATTTATCTAAGTTGTTTTTCAAAACTGTTTTGGTTACTCTACTTTCTTTGACTTTCCAAATAAATTTTAGAATCAATTTGTCAATTCTACAAAATAAACTTCTAGGATTTTGATTGGGATTGTGTTGAATTTATAGATCAGCTTGGGGAGAACTGACATCTTAACAATATTGAGTCTTCCAGTCCATGAACACAGTATACCTCTCCATTTATTTAGGTCTTTGATTTCTCTCATTAATGTTTTGTAGTTTTCAGCATACAAATAATGTACACATTTTGTTAGATTTATACCTAAGTATTTCATAGTCTTTGGTGCTATTGTAAATGGCACTTTTTTTTTTTCATTTTAATTTCCAAATGTTCATTACTAGTATAGAAATACAACTGATTTTTATCCTGAGGATGTAATTTATACAGTTGATCTTGTATCCTGAGACTTTACTGAAATAACATACTAGTTATAGTAGCTTTTTTGTAGAATCTTTGGGATTTTCCATGCAAACAATCATGTCCTCTGCAAATAGAGACAGTTTTATTTTTTTCTTTCCACTCTGTCAGCTCTTTTTCTTTTCCTTGCCTTATTGCACTTGTTACATCTTCCAGTATGATGTTGAATAGGAATGGTGCAAGTGGATATTCTTGCCTTGTTTCCAATTATAGGAGAAAAGCATTCTCTTTTACTTTTAAGTATTATGCTAGCTGTAGATTTTTTTGTAAATGCTCTTTCTCAGGTTGAGGAAGTTCCCTTTAGTTTCTAGTTTGCTGAGAACTAAACATTATGAAAGGACTTGTATTTTGTCAAATTCTTTTTCTGTATCTATTAAGATTATTATGGTTTTTCTTCTCTAGTCTGCTATTATGATGAATTACATTAATTGCTTTTTTCAGAATAGCTTTTTAAAATTGAGATAAAATTTACATAACATAAAATTCACCATTTTAAGGTACAAAATTTAGTGGTTTTTAGTATATCCACAATGCTGTGTAACCATCACCACTAATTCCAGAATATTTCCATCACCTCAGAAAGAAACTCTGTTATCTGTTAGCAGTCACTCTCAATTTCCCCCCTCCCTCTATCCCCTGACAACCATTAATCTACTTTCTGATCTATGGATTTGTCTAATCTAGACATTTCAGATAAATGGAATCAAACAATACATGGCCTTTCGTGACTGGCTATTTTCACTTAGCATAAAGTTTTCAAGGTTTATCTA